GGTATACTACGACTATACGCCTACTTCTCTAAGAAAAACGCTCCTACCGAGTGTAACTACGAGATCTACGATAAGGAGCTACTCGCTATCGTACGATACCTAGAAGTATAGGACGTAGAACTACGTTTAGTCTAAGGGAAATTCCTCGTTATCACCGACTATAAGAATCTAGAATACTTCCTTAAACTAAGGAAGCTTACTAAACGGTATATACGGTAGTTACTCTTCTTAAGTAGGTTTAACTTCGACTTCTAATATCGCCCCGGTATAGATAACGCCCGAGCGGACGCCCTATTACGACGAGACTAAGATAACCTAACCGAGGAAGACCTAAGAATCGTAGATCGTACGAAGTGTCTCCTAACGTAGATAGGAGACGATAAGGCTACTATAAATATCTATACCACGACCGTATAGTAAACCCCTAACGAATAAGACTAGGAGCTAGCGAGAGATAGGGATAACGAGTACTAGGGCGCTATACGGACACTATAATAGGGCCTACGGAAGTTCCCACTAGAACTAAAGCTAAAAGTCTTAACTTCCGAATATATAATCGACTAAGCCTAGAAACTTCGCTTCTACGGAAGGTTATAGGTCCCTAACTCTAAGCCGCTTCGTACGAAAATTATTTAGACCGCACACGACTCTCGACTTACCGGATACCTAGGGAGGGAGGAGACCTATATAGTGGTTAGCCGCGAGTACTTCTAGCCTCTTGGTATAATAGTATATTATAGTAGAGTATAATGGTGTGAAGGATATCATATATAAATTACTGGTAACTATTACTATATCTAAGGATATACTAATAGTGGTAAACTATATTATGATTCACTTCTAAATCGCCATAAATCGTGAGATAATATGATATCTTATATTATCTTATATTTGCCTCCTAAAATGTCTATAAAAAGGGTGACAGTCTACTCTCTAATAGAATAACAATATACTTCTTAATATATTCTCATCCATATACATATATCTTTATCTCCTATTTAGGATAAGTATAACCTTCAATACTATATCTTATATAATCATATTATATAAGATATTACTTCCTCTATAAAATATTATAACCTACTATTAGGCTATAATATTCTATCTGCTAAACTACTCACAGGCCACGATTTTGTTTGCTTCTCCTATTGATTCCTAATCTAGCGTCTATTGAAGCAAATAGTCATTGTCCTAGGGGGGGGGGGGGGGGTATTGTTATAGGGCCGTCGTACTTCGTACGAAGCCCTATAGAAGATGCTTGCTTATACTACGCGGAATCTGCCAAACGTTACCGCCTTCGACGGAATATATACACATTTATTAGCTCAGGAGAACTCCTCTCCTCAACGAAACCTTCTTGTTCTTAAAACCCGTCTAAGTTGCACAACTAGGCTAGTTCCGTAACAATATAAGATATTACTTCCTCTATAAAATATTATAACCTACTATTAGGCTATAATATTCTATCTGCTAAATTACTCATAATCGCTTTAATATAGTAAAGTAGCCGATATTAAGAGGCTATAAAAGATAAGAGGAGTACGGAGGTAGACTGCGACATCGCCCGTCACGATGGGTAGACCTCATAACCGCCCGTAGACCCGCACTTTTGCGGGCGGAGGGCAGGCGACACCCTCCCGCGGGTCGGGCGGGTCTTTTTTCCGCCCTCACCAAGCGGCCCTCCAAATATTTTGAGGGCCGATAAACAAGACAAACAGGCAAAAAATATGACTTTTTTAATTACGCTATGTATAAACGCTGTTTATAGACCTTTTATATACGTAATATTTAACTTTCTTTTAATAGATAGATTATATTAATAGTCAAATTTATAAATTACCTTTAAATATATAATAGAACGCGTTATTTAGATAGTTTAGAAATTACAGAGTTTTGCTTAGAAAGTGGTAGTACTATCGTATATCTTAAAAATATATATCTAATATTAAGATATAAGTTCTATGTTTTTACGCGATTTCTCGATTTTTATAGACTGTACTTAGTTCAAAATTCAATGTTATACTTATAAAGCTTACTTGAATCTATAGTCTAATTTTGATCTTTATACGATGCGTAGAAGGTCATATTACAGCAATTACAAGAGGTTGGTTATGCGGGCCGATAAGGGCCGCCCTCGAGCGGCCCTCAGAGGGCGGAGGGTCGGGCGGAGGGCGGGAGATGCCGGCCCTCTAAATGTTTTTAATGAGGTCTAACCATGGGCGGTGGGCTATTTGGATTTTCGAGTGCCCGTCTATAACGCCCACCGCCCATCGTGGACGGGCGATGTCGCAGTCTAGGTATTATCCTATTTTACTCGCGGATTTTATTGAATTTTAGGGTTAAATAGCTTCCGTATCTATTAAGAACTAGTAGCCTTTACCTCCCCTCTATACGGAAAGAAGTACTAGGAATAAAGAGCTTTTTAAGCTAGCGAAGTCTAATTTTATCTAAAGTCTAACTATTAGGACTAACTTTAATTCGCTAGTCGTTTAGTAGGCCTTCGAACTATAATTCTAAGTAGACTTTATCTTTAAAAATAATATATAGAGGGAGGGCCTAACCTAATAAATTTATACACTTAATAGTAGTCACCTATTCGCGATTTCTAGGCTATAAAAGCGAGCGCTAACTATAGAATTTAGCTCTCGTAATTACCTTCGTAGTAGCGATTAACCCTATTACGAAGCTAGTCTTATCGAAGTTATAGATATTATTAGGGTCGATCCTAAATTAAATAATAGTTTTCTAAATAAGATTAAATCACTCCTAAATAATCTTTAGGTCTTCGCACTTCGCACGTTTATAATTATAGCGTCTTAAGAATCGGGAGGAGAGGAGAAGGTTCCTTTTTATAAATTTTATAACCTAATCTTTACTAACTAAAAATACTAGGGTAGTTCCGCGCTTTTCGAGAAGAAGATTCGCTATTTCCCGAACTATAGAAGGCCCAGGTACTAATCCCCGAGAATATATAGAGAGAATCTATTTTTAAAGAGAATATTCTTTAATTTATATTAGTTTATAAGAATTAGCACGAGAAGTCGCGCGGTATTAAACGCTATATAGGCGTGTCCGGAGTATCGATTCGGGTGCGTTAAATCGGCGTGCTACTTCACGAATAGAGCTTATTTCTTATTTCTAAATAGCCTACGTAGCTAATAAGATCCTACCTTCTTACTATATTAAATTCCGAGAGCTTTAAGGGCGAATTAGTGATATAGTGGGTGGTTGAATTAATTAAGTGCAAATCTAGGGGCGCGTTTTAGGTGGGGTGCGCAGCTCGGTGGTGTGCGCAGCTCGGTAGTGAAATACGTTATTTATATTTATATAATTATAAGTTAACTAATCTAATCCTATATAGAACGGAGCTTAATTAACCTATACTTTTTTTTAGAAAGAGAATAAATATCGGTTTCCGATACTTATAGCGGTCGTATAGGATATTTTCTCTATCCTAGCTACCGGTATAGGTATTAAGCGCCTTTTTAGTACTACTCGCGATATCTGCTATTATCGACGAGGGTTATTAAATGAAGTAATAATCTAGGATCTAATAATACTCCGCTATTTATCTAACTTTAATATTAAGAGCGAGGAAACTAGTAAGGATTTCTAACCTAAATCTATTCTAAATCTAGACGAAAGGATAGAGATTAAGAAGGTAAGGGAAGCGAAACTTCCTAATTCTATATTAGAGGGAATTAGCGAGGGTAAAGATAGCGAGGGCTTAGATAAAGTTAGAGATATTGATATTGATACAGATTAGGAGGCTACTAAGGAGTTAGATAATAATTCGGCACTATATCTATTACCTCTTATTATTATTAATAGCATAAGTTAAGCTCGACCCTAAAGAGATCGTAAGAGGCGTAGGGATAATAATATATAGTATACTAGATAATTCAATTATATAATACTAGAATTATACTGAATCCTAATAGAAAAATTGATCCTAAATCTCTAAATGCCAATTCTTAATATAAACTAAATACTAATAAATATAGGGCATTTTTTTTTAACTTATATAGGTCACGCTTTTCTCTATATTTATAATATTTATAGTCCTATAGGACCGGACTAGATACCTTAGTCCCATCTCTTAGCACTCCTATGGGACCAAATGGTGGGAGTTGGCAAGGTCTATCTGCTAGTATCCTCGCATTTGTGTTATCGCACAGGGACCTCTGCTACGGCACGCATCCACAAGCTGAAATTCATCATCCGTTAAGCGGGGAAATTGCCTATTTAGGCATCGTGAATAGCTTCAGGTTTACGAATTGTTGTCGTTATTGAACCTGCGCTTCTGAGATAACAGGAATTTCTCTCTGTAGCGATTTTTTGCCTACGGGATGTACGAGCGATTTAGATATTATAGGTGTTTTGGAGTAGGGGCATATATCGAGTTCATAAACTATTCCGTTAAAATTGAGAAATAACCTACATAAGTTGGCGCGAGGGACCCAAAAACCTGCTGTAGTACATAAACTTTGTAGAACCTTGAACAAACCCTAAAAGTTCATCTGTGCACGTTACATGTACTGCTTTGGCGAAAATCCACAACACAGATAGAAAACAAGTTACTGAGGCGACAAATAGGCTACCTGGAGGCATATTGTATTCTCATTTGTTGGTTTATCTCTGTATGATGAAAGTTAAGTTTGTCCATGGGGTATTATCCTGGGAATATCCTTCATTGAATCCCCATAAGTATAGCGTTTTAGAGTATGCATGCCGCAATTCGAAGAAACAATCAGTAATAAATGTTCAATTAGACACGTTCGTTGATGTTTCCGGATAGGGACATTTGGGGGTGATATGTCGTGATCCAAACTATCATGGCACCTTGCCCTAACATCCCGTGTCGCCAAGAATGGAGGGGTTCAAGTAACACTTAAGATTAGAGGTGTTACGTGGAAAACAAATTGATTTTACTTATTCGATGAGGTCAAATTACTCAAAGCAGTTGATCCTGCATCGAACGGACTTCAGAAATCGACAGTATGGTGTTGGATAAGCACGACGAACTGGAAGTAAGTACTTCCAGTATACCTTCAATTCCGCCCAACGAGATCAAAGGCAAGGATTCAGAAAATGAATATAACACCAAACTTGAGAAAAGAGTGATGCGAAAGATAGATTTCTGGCTCGTTGGGTTTTACTCGATTGTATACATCTTCCGGGTCATTGATTCTAACAACTACTCCAACGCCGCCATAATCAACCTAGAAGCCAACACTGGAATCAAGAAAGAGCTTAATTTCAACTCCTCCCAATGGGCCTGGACACAGTCCATCTTCTCATACAGCTACCTTCTTTTCGAGCCCACCAATACCATCCTTCTCAAACGCGTCACGCCCTCGAGATGGATGTTCGTTCTAATCTTGTCTTGGGGTATCTGTGCCTGCGCTGCCGGCGCTGCACAGGATTTTCCGGGGATGATGTGTGTGCGGTTTGCAATTGGAATGGCCGAAGCCGGGTTCTACCCTTCCGTGCTCTACCACATGGCCTTCTGGTACAAACCATCTGAGCTGCGCTGGAGAATTGCTCTTTTCTACTCGCTTGGTCAGGTTTCCGGTGCATTGAGTGGGTTGCTGGCGTATGCCATCAGTTTTATGGATGGAGCCGGGGGGCTATCGGGCTGGCGATGGCTGTTTGTTATAGAAGGCCTTCCGGCAATCTTGTTGTCTGTGATAGCGTTATTCGGTCTTCCAGACTATCCCGAAAACGCCCGTATGTTGACAGAAGAGGAGAGGGCTTTTCTAAAAGGCCGTCTGTCCTCCACAGCACCCTCTGGCAAAGACAAAAGCTGGAACTGGGCGGATTTGAAAACTCTCCTCTCCAGTCCAACGCTGTATACTTTCACGGTCTACTGGATTGGACATGGTATTGGCGGATTTGGAGTGAACTACGCTTTGCCTACTGTTATCTACGAGCTTGGTTTTACTTCGACCGCTTTATCGCAGCTAATGAATATTGTGAGTTAGGGTTAATCCAACAATCCGCAAGACATCGCTAACTGGATCGCAACTAATAGCCTCCTTATGTCGCATGCTTTTTCTTTCTGAATATTCTTGGGTATTTGCTACACAAAGGCTGGATAAGGCCCTGGACTACTGCTGTCGCGAGTAAGCATCAATCTTCCACATTGTGTGCGGACTTCCTACTAATAGCAAAAACAGTCGAAAGCACGACAATCATCTGCTATATAATCCTGATTACAGTTCCAAGCTCACTCGTCAAATACCTCGCCTTGGTTGTCGCCACCGCCTGTGCCGGATCTGCGTACCCTGTCATCTGGCCAGAACGTATTCGTGCACTCGAGGGGACAGTGGCCGTGGGAATTGGTATTGGGCTGACGAATGCCATGGCTCAGTTAAGTGGCATTGCTGGGCCTCATGTGTACAGTACGGCGTTTGGACCGACGTATCGAGTATCATACGTTATCTGCCTCTGCTTCTTGTGTGCAGCTATCTCGGGCATTTTGGCTTCATGGTGGCTTGTCTGGAGGAAGGATCGGAAGAATGAATTGGACGCTGGGCTTGAAGAAGATGGATGATGATTCAGGAAATAACCCTTCCATGCTAAGCATTTCCCATGTGACTTTCCAGCTTAAAATCGAAGCTGTCATCGAAATCGTTCTACCAGCTCATCGAAACTTTAAACGTTTTTATGTCTTAACTCTCACACTATCCCCTTGAAAAAGCAAGACACTGTGACGGTGGAGACTGTGAGTTGACATATATGAGCCTGGAATATAGTATCCCTAGGAATATGGCCAAAGCAAATAACCCGTGACCACTTGGTCTCAAATATCTCAACTACCTGCCTAGCAAACAAGCTGCCCCCAGATCTTTCTTTAAACACATTCCTCCTCTAATCCTCTCTACCTTTCCATCTCACAACTGTCACGCAAGAACTTGATAGCTCCTCTCAGAGAAAATTGCATCTTGAACGCGTGCTAATCTCGCTCCCTCGACCCCACCCACTCTGACAGCCATGCCTCACGCAGGTTCCATGGACTTCCAGGCCCTCATCCTGTGTGGGCCTGGCAGTTCACTCAATACATTCACATCCAGACCCGAGGAGTATCCAAAGTGCCTCATTCAAGTCGCAAACAGACCCATGGTATTCTATGCCATTGACTTTTGCAGACGATCAGGTGTCACTGGTAAGTCCGAATATTCTCTTTCTCTCTATCTCTCTCGCTGAACCAAATCGGCTAATTATATGTCAGATATTACATTGATCACCCCTCCACTCTCTTACACTCCAATTCGGGCCGCTTTGGACCAAAACCCGTACCTTACATCTTTCTACTCGTCCTCAGTCTCTGTTGTCGCACCGAAAGACCTCGAGATGACAATGGGGACCGCCGAGCTGCTCCGCCTCCCAGAAGTCCAGAGATGTATCAACACCAACTTCCTCCTCCTTCCCTGTGATCTCATCTGCGAGATTCCGGCTGAGTCAATCCTTGAGGCGTGGATGGGCACCCAGTGTGTCGTCAGCGATAGCAACGATTCTAGAGGGGCTCGCCATCCATCCCCTCCAGCCAGATCGTACTTCAATCGTCAGCTCGAACCTCGCTCCGGTAGTCTCGCTGTGTACTACCAGACCGACGACAGAGAGGAGAGCATCCAAGAGGAAGCAACTGATTTCGTGGCCATCGCACCGCTTGAGTACGACGAAGCGCCCGTTTTCCCACCCCCTGAAGAACCGCTAGTTCCACGGTTCAACTTATCCAAACTTCTCATGTCAATGCCGATGGATACAATCAAGGAGAAAATAAAACACGACAAAGGCCTGCTCATTCGTCATTCTCTCGTCCAGAACTGTGCGCGCATCAGGATGCTCACTACCTTCCGCGACGCCCATGTTTACGTATTCCCCTACTGGGTCAAGGATCTACTCCGCCACCAAAGCAGACTGGAATCCGTTAGCGAGGATCTGGTTGGCACCTGGGCCAAAGCAAGATGGCAGAAAGGTCTCGGCGACAAGCTAGGATTGACCATGGACTTCAACAAAGACACCACTACCACCGAGAAGGACTACTACTCCAGCCCCAAAACTAGCCCAACTGGCGCATTCGTCGACAAAGTAATCAACCTGCGGGAGATGAGTACTACCAGAACTCGCTTGAGCTCCGAAATGCAGCCAGATGGGCTTTTCCAATCTGGTGCTACTGAACTGCCACAAATCCTAGCTTATGTCCACCGAGGTTCAACCCCGTTCCTCCGACGAGTCGATAACATAGGCATCCTCCTTTCAACCTCGCTTTTCATAGCAAAAATGCCATCTCTTGATGAAGTCGGCATAGAGGAAGCGTCACCTTTCGCGCACGCCCATAAGGTTGCTTACCCCGAAGGCGTGGCTTCGCCCAGCAATATTACAAAGAAAGATTGTCTGCTCGGCGACAATGTGATTGTTGAATCGGCTGCCGTTATAAAGGAGAGTGTGATCGGTGCAAACTGCCAGATCGGTAGCTCAGCGCGCATCCTTCGTTGCGTTTTGATGGAGGGCGTCGTCGTTGAGTCCAGGGCTCAGTTGACTGGATGTGTGATTGGTCGACGGGCTCAGATTGGTCGTGAATCTGTGCTGAATGGGTGTGAGGTCCAGGATTCTAATTTGATCCCGAAGGAAACGACTGCTAGGGATGAGAAGTTCATGGTTTCTGAGACTTTGTGTGTCTAAAGAGGGTGGTATGATGGCGACCGGTCACCGTCTACTTCACGTCAACTGGTGTGTTTGTTAAAAAGAAATTTTGAGGCAAAACAGAAATATTAAAAAACTTCATGATCAAAACATATGCCTTTATGAGTTGTGGATTTATCTTTCATAAGAGACCTCCAGTACATAGCAACATGAGGTACGTAATTCAATAAAGGTCCTCTGGTGCTATACACTATAGAACAACTATACCAAAATTATATTTTATTCTAAGCAATTTGTACGAATGAACTCGCCCCAATCGCAAAGACAATAGTTCTTCCTATACTTAATATATCTCGTCTGCTTTTATACGCTCTCTCTTCGAGCTGTACCGGATACCGACAGTGATTGCCCAACCCTTCCAGCCAACCAGCGTGCAAACTGATTTGTTACTATAGGAGCCTGACTAATGGAACATGAGAAAGTATACCGGAAGGATAATAAAGTGTAAGATCTTTGAATACAGAACTATGGATTACAGAGGAATTATGTACAATATGACAATCTGGATGCAAAACACATGTAAAATAAGGGAGAATTGGGTCATGGCGGCCTGCAGTAATTGAGGTAACCTGCATATGGGGCCAGTTGAGAGTGTGATAGTGGAATATAGGCGCTGTAACGTATCGCGCATACATAACGGGATCCAGCATCTCGACAGGACCGAAACCGCACTGGATTGATTGTCTAACAATATTCGACCCAGGCATCGAGGTTCATGTTCTTGATAACAGTCGAGAATTTGTTGGTGTTGGCTGCGTTACAAGCTGATATCTTCAACTTCGAGGAGAGAACACTTCTGGCTCGGACTTTGTAACGACCGTGTACACAAAGGTGTTCATCCTTGGTGACATCGGCATTGATATCAGCAGTGGTGGCAGTGCTAGTGTTGATGGGACTATTGATGCTACCAGACTTGGTGGTATCTGCGTCTGTGCTAGCCAAAGCGACAGTGTCAGTCGCAGTAGCCTCGTTACCAATTGGTGTCTTGATAGCGGGACTAGAAGTATCATCAGAAACCTTCAGGTCAAGATATTCAATGGGGGCAGCGAGGCTGGCTAAAGTATCATCAGACCCTGAAGTGGTGCCAGCAGTGCCGTCTTTGGGGTCAATGTATTCAAGAGGGCCAGCGAGGCTGCCAGAGCTACCACCAGAGCCCTCAGGCGTAACACTATCAGCAGCGGTGGCTCCGCTGCCGGTTGGAGCCTCGGTGGTTGTGCCAGTAGCACCGTCCTTGGGGTCAACGTATTCAAGGGGACCAGCCTGGCTACCAGAAGCATTATCAAAGCCCCCTGAGGCGTGATACTATCAGCAGTAGTGCCTGCGCTGTCAGAAGGAGCCACGGTGGTAGTGCCAGAAGTACCTTCCTTTGGGTCGACCTCGCCGATGCCCGTGACAGTGCCATCCTTGGGGTCAACGTTGCTACCGGTGGGAGCCTCGGAGGTGGTACCAGTAGTGCCCTCCTTGGGGTCGACGCCGCCGGTGAGAGTGCCCTCCTTGGGGTCAACGTCGCTACCGGTGGGAGCCTCGGAGGTGGTACCAGTAGTGCCCTCCTTGGGGTCGACGCCGCCGGTGAGAGTGCCCTCCTTGGGGTCAACGTCGCTACCGGTGGAAGCCTCGGAGGTGGTACTAGTAGTGCCTTCCTTCGGGTCGACGCCACCGGTGATGGTGCCTTCCTTAGGGTCTGTGGGCGTGCCAGTAGCATCACCAGAGCTCTCGGGCGCAATGCTGTCACCAGCCGTGCCTCCGCTGCCAGTGGGAGCTTCGTTGGGGGTGCCAGTGGTACCCTCCTTGGGGTCAACATACTCAAGGGGGCCAGCCTGGCTGCCAGAGGTATCGGCAGAGGCCTCAGGAGCAATACTGTCAGAAGTGGTGGCTCCGCTGCCACTGGGAACCTCGGTGGTGGTGCCAGTAGTCCCAGCTTTAGGGTCAATGGATTCAAGAGGGGCGGCAAGGCTGCCAGAAGTATCACCAGCGACCCCAGGCGTAAGGTCAATATTTTCAATGGGGGCAGCGAGGCTTCCAGGAGTATCATTAGAGCCCTCAGGCCCAATACTGCCAGCAGCGGTAACCTCGCTGCCAGTGGGAGTGTCGGTGGTGGCCGAAGTATCATCATAGCCCCGAGCCTCAAGAGACTCCCCGGAATATTCGATATGGAAAACAGGTTTATTGACTTCGGTGAATGCAGCATACACTTCACACTCATTATACTCAGCACACTGCTCATTCACCGACCACTGCATCATATCAATGACTGAGCCGATGATATCACCTCCATTCTTTAACCCGATAGCCATGCCACGGGAATGCGACTCCTTCGCCAGGAAAGTCAAAAAGTCAACCGAGTCGGCTTCGGTCAACCCAAGACCATTCTCATTTCCATACGCATCAATGTTGTCCGGGTCAACACCATCGCAGCCCTTATCCTTTGCAATATCCAACCGCGAGCTCATAATCGCGCGGACCCTGTCCGACGTGATATCGAGCCAGCGCTCGCCTGGCCATTCATCGAGGTTGCTGCCGAAGTCTTCGGGGTCGAACTTGTTAATGTCGGGGCGCCAGTCTTCGTATGTGCCGGCCGAGAAGTAGCAGATAACTTTGTGGCCTTTCTCCTTCAGAGTGGTGATTGTTTCAGCGGTGTTCTCGAAGAGGTCGATGTCCCAGATGTCGGCGTCGACAGTGGTGTCTTCGACGGGGTCGACAAGTTGGATTTGCCATTTTACTCCGGCTTCTGGTTGCCAGATATCGGTGTCGTCTGTGTCGGTGTTGTCGCGCTTGGACATCTTCTGGTTGTGTCCAGATCGGGGCTCTCTTCGGAGATCCATCCCGATGGCAAGAAAAAAGACGCCCAGAACACATGATATCAGGAGCTTTCTCTTTGTCGCTAGGACCTGCCAGCCCGAAGGCTTGGAAAACTGCATCATTTTGGTAAAATTGGTTTGAGTTGAAAGGAATGTGAGGAATGAATGTGTTTGTAGAAAAGAATGGATAGACAACTTGATTCCAGCAAGTGTCAAAGAAAGGAGAGACTGAAGAATAGTGAAGGTAGAATAGGGGACTTCATGAGTGGCTGTCCGGGACTTATAGTCCGTGATATGCCGCTGAGAAGTTAGGATATACCCTGCATCGAGCCGTTTCAGATTTTCACATATTAACCTGTAGAGTAATAAGCTGACCGAGCCACTAGCGGAGGACGTTAAACGAAGCCAAGCATACCGGAGCCCCCGTGCCAGTAAAAGTGATAGCTTAGACCAAATGGTAGGAGAATCCGGAAGAGTATGGGACAATGAAACAACTGCCAAGAAACGCCTCGCGGTTGATGTCTCCCGTTCATTTGTGGATATTTTGCTTGAACTCATGCCAATCCGACTTAATTGATCCAGTCTCAGCCGCACTTATTTAGCGTCAATGCCAAATCGGAGGTTTTAATAGGTCTGGAACATGGTAGTTAATTAGTTGAGATCTATAAAGCATATCAGCCTGGTCCTCAATTTCCTTAGATCATTTTTAGAATGCATATCGAAGGATTCTTGAATACAATTATTTCTAGGAAATCTCGGACTTGTACAAAATACCCGAACTCAATAGCGTCAAGCCTTAATATAGTTGGGCCAATTATATAGATTCACCCTCAGCCATATGGCTTCTGCCTCTTTGTCCCCTGCAGGTAAAAAAAATTAGATACGTTGAGAAATATCCCCGGTTTTCCTTGGCACATTGCTAAGGGCGCTTACCTTCAGACAGGTCTCACCGGATCTATTTTCTGGTTTTAGGGCTATTTAACAGTTTCTCCCTCCCATGTTCCTTTTTAAAGATCTATGCATAGATAATCATACACAGATAGTCGAGGTATGTGAAGAATTGAACAATATCTGGTATACAAATCGTCATTCTCGACCATATCCATATATCCGTTCGTATCCCCATATTTATGTCGTGTCAGACCAATTTAACATGCATCTACCCCTGTAACTAGTCTATTAGCCATCATACACCTCCAGAGGTCATAACCATACCCCGTACTTCCTCCCAAACGCCTTTGTCCAGGCCCATGCACTCTCTCCCTCATTGTATCACTCTCACCCAGGCGCACATATACCCCTCTTCTCCTTAATTTCGGCACCGAGAGCCCAACAACATCTCAAACGTCTCAGGCGTTTGCAGACACCTAACATTCACTCTATCCAAATCCGCCCGGACCCCTTCATCCAATCCGCAACAGTACTCGCAGAACCAACAGGAACAGGCCTAGCCCCACACATCGATTTATGTTTCCCGACATTCCTTGGCGTCCAGGCACATCAGCACTCCGATAGAGTGTATGAATTGTGGAGCGAACACGGGCGCCAGCACGTACATCTGATAGCCTAATAGGCCTGTCTAGATTAATCCGGCTAAGACCGATACCGCTTCAAACGGAAAAATTTCTTCGCTGGCGTATTCTAGTTTGACAGTGCCATTACATAAGTCCCTACTGGTATGCCATCTGCAGAGCGCCAACCTGTTTTGAAAGTTAGGCTGGCTTGTTCTTCCATGTGTTTGTTTGTCCTTTTGTGTCTAGTATCTACAGGGGTCGACATCGAGTCTGTATACCTCGCAAGCACGTTGGGAGAATGATACATTGACAAGTTGATAGCTAGTGCGGATATTTCTGGCATGACATAGGTTCTCGATCTTTGAAGAAAGATGAATATTGATTCAGGTAGGGCAATGTTGCCTGGCAAGATTTGGCCTATGCCGCGGGATGATGAAACCGGCTGTGATATGCTTCAAGGGGGTGAACTTGAAACCCATCTTGCATCATCAGGGAGCTGGTAGGACTCGACGCAGTTGGCATCACCAGGGGCGGTAAAGGAAGAGTGGAGTAGACGAGCTAATAAAAGATGGGAGTGAAGATGATAAGGGCAATAGGGTAGTAGATATGCTCAAGATTGAAGTTACCTTAAGGTTGATTGCTATTTGGACGATCAACAAGCATTAAAAGTATGAAAAAGGTTGAGGATAGTAGAGTTAGTGATGGTTAAGAGAGATAGAAGGCGTGAAGGAAGTGAGCAGAGAGTGAAGTGAAAGGGAAGGGAACGAGGAAAGCATGTGTATTCTCTACGTAGCAGAGAAAGAGGTCGTGATTACAGATCATGTGAAGATATGACTAGGTGGTAGAGGAATGATAAAGCTGAGTCGACCAAGTATTGTTTCACTATATACTTCCGCTTTGAGGTGGCGGATAGGTCGGGCCCGATGTACATATGTTGCTGTGTTTCTAGAAAGCTACGTATAAACAAGAAGAGAATGAGATTATATGGAAAACTTGTCAGCAGAGGACCATAGACAAATCCCAGGGAGCAAACATAATGTGTCAGATGCAGAATGACTAGTATAAACTTAGCTAAGACTACGATCACACATAGACCAAGCAAGATATCTACAAACGAACATGGGATATTGGCAACTCCAAGGATTTCTTTGATATTGGAGTATCTGAATTGTATACCTATTTTATTCCGAACACCCAGTAGAAAATTGACGCTACTAGAAACCTCTGGAGGTGGTTTAACCTTATTTTCAGTAGTATAATGGGTCTCCCGGGTTTATGTTTTACCACATTAGCAGAGGTATGTATGATAATAGAATTTGCATTGGCCTTTAGATGATTTTCACTCATCTTGATATATATTTGCGGCATTCACATATCCAGAGCTTTGTTTCTTTTCCCACGAATTCAAAAGTGCCTCGAAACTGTGCACAAATTTGAGATTGGAATTACTTACCACAACAATAACTAATTAACCCATAAGCTACTTGGATCAGCTTGGATTATCAATGATATACCCATGCAATATTCCTTGAATTACCGGCCCTCAGATTTTCATTCCAGCCGAATTCTTAAGAAAAGCACCAGTTCAGGTATCTATTTTGCCTGAAGAGTTTGGCCCAGTCCCGTGGGCACTGTGACAACTGCGTCAGATAATTTGAATGCCAGGAGGTGATCAAAGGGCTTTCTTACATGGAGTCGTTCCTTTGCATACATGCTCACGCCAGTGGGGGCAGACACATGTCTCGAAAGTCTTTTCAGCCTCATGCATGCCACGGCCAAACACCTCCCGGCGGAAGCGCAGACAGGAGTCGCACTCTGCATCCAGTGCATCATAACCAGTGTGATCATGTCATCGTCGCCGAACGCATCGTACACATCCGCCCAATCGTGAATCTTCTCCACAAATCAGGCCAGCAAACCAACTGGTGAATCACCTAGCGCAAAGCCAAGGGTTTGAGGCCTTGTTTTTTGTTGCTCGAGGTAGCCACTCTGATCTTCCTCAATCTGAAACCTCTCCTGGTCAGGCTGACTACCATTACACAAAAAAAAACAGTAGAGCCTCATGAAAAGAAGACTAAGATAACGTGGCAGCAAAAATTCATATTGTAAAACTAAATTCTCAACACAATCTTTCCATGGCCAGATGTTTTTGTGCTGGCTTTCTCATAAGCCTCCCGCGCCTGCGTCAGCTCGTACGTCTCCACCACGAATGACTTCAAAAGGCCCGCCTCTGCCAACTTCGACAAGTCCCCGAGAGCTCGGCCATCGCTGCTGACGATGAAAAACAACGCCTTGACATTTTCCTTCCCATCACAAAGACCACTTTGTTTATGAATGTTGACAAAATCGAAGCTAGAGGAATCAATTGATATGAGCGTACCACTTTTGGAAACCATTGCCCAGCAGTTAGCGAGGATCTCGCCTCCAACGGTGTCAATTATGACATCAAATGCGGTTTCAGGTTGCAAATGCGTATATTCGACAGTCTCGTGGGCGCCAAGAGACTTGAGAAAAGACTCGTTCCGTGCATTTGAGCTCGTAGCGGCAACGACGTGCAACCCCGCCACGGCAGCTAGCTGAACAAGGTATATTCCAACACCACCAGAAGCTCCGGTGACAAGTATCTTCTGACCATTTGCAGAATGCCTTTCGTCGCCGTTAAGTTGGGCTGGGAGCGGGATCCCACCATGCTTGAATAAAGCCTGGTATGCTGTCAAAGCGCTGAGGGGCAAGGAAGCCGCCTGCTCCCAGTTCAAGTTCTTAGGCTTTTGTGCAATCTCTTCTTCTTTGACAACGGTGTAATCAGCCCAGGTGGATCCTCGATCTGCATGTGTCATTCCGAAGATCTCATCTCCAGGCTGGAATATTGGCTGAACGTCGCCAGGCATTTCATAGGTTTCCTCCACAATCCCCGATAAGTCGTGGCCCAAAATGGCGTACTCGGTCGCATATGTTTCTGGCCATGTCAACGCGTCACGAATAACGGTGGTTGCCTTGACTCTGACTAGTAGTTCTCCTTGACATTTTGGTTTAGGTCGAGGAATTTGATCAAGGTGAAGCGAGGAGGGAGAGGCCGGATTCGCAGGAGAATATGGCAAAGAAGATGCGGAAGCTGGGTGGACCCGAATAGCGCGCATAATTTATCGAATGAACTATCAGCGAAGCTATGGAGGAAATCTGTAAAGTGCCAAAGAGAGTTCCCTACTGGATTTATATGTCTGTGATTGATGAGGATTCCCGCTTATTCGTCATTTCCATCCAATGGCAAGGCTTTTGATACCCCCGTACAGTAACACGAGAACTTCGGAGTATCTAGACGGGTATAGCCCACGCTACGCCGATCCTTTTTTGATAGGCTATCTGTCGGATTTTCTTAATCCAGAACTTAGGTTTCTCAACTACTAAATACATATTCTCACTCTCACATTGCATTTCGACGTCCCTTCTGACAATGTATAAATGAACAATATCTAAATGGGAAGTATTGCATGTGATGGGATTAGCGTGTCGCATTTTACTGTAGCTTACTTAGGCCGCTCATCCCTTAGTGAGTCCATGGGTATATCACCTGGAGGGTGCAGGGTGCCCAGGGGTTGATTATGTAATTCTCCGTGATCAAGACTGGATCGAGCACTTGAACGGAATGCGAAAGGTCTCGAGAGGCATTATCCGGTACAGATGTACGTTACTGACGAACTTGATCAATAATGTAGCTGGAAAGTCGGAAAGTATTTTGTGTGAAGCGGCTATATGGTTCCTAGTTATTGAAGCCCATTAAGCACTTGTATCGAGATGCAGGATCCTGTTGTATATATGCGCCACACGGAGTACATTATACCTATATTCCAGTACGACATTGTGAACTGGCCTAAATAAGTCTGTCCGCTTACGCATACGACAAGAGCTGTGTTGGTTTGATCGGCCATATTGAGTATAAGTCTGTGAATTTGCCCAGAATTCTGACCTTGAACAGGTCATCTCTTATATTAACTATAGTTAACTAGTTATACATATTCGGATGACGGAAGATGTATTCCCCATTCTCTCAACTGTAAGCGCCAGGGACGATATAAAGTGGGGCCAGAGGAGGTTGCAGTTGCCAAATATCAACAAATAAAATAGATGAGAAATCAATGATCTTGATTTGTGTCTAGGAATACAATAGAAAAACCGAGACCTGGTCTAGAATGGATACATTATCAATCACCTCCTGCTTGGAACATGTACTCTGAGAGTTACCGCGTACGTAGTATGTATTCAACAACCCCGGGCCCAACGGCCGAACGGACACATTACCTTGTGTGCACATCATGCGCTAGCCAGAGAATCTCAACTTACTTTTTAAAGTCTGTTGAAAATTATTACTAATCGCGTTTACTGAAGGAATGACGTGCCAATGCCAATGCCAAGTCCGCTAAACTATCTATACAATCTAGATCAGCGAAGGAATACACAAGGAAATTGAAGGGCAAGCCAAGGAATCCTTTACTCCACAATTAATTCTTATTCTCAGTCTTCCTACGGAGTACTCCGTATATGACATACCAAATTGTTTATAGCTATTTATAAATATCCCGAAAGCTCCAGATCTCTGCCATTTATGCTATGTTCTCCTTAGATCAAATCTCATAGCTGCCTGGTTTCAATCATTCAGCGGCACACTTTCCGCTCTTGCAGACCAGGTCATCCGAGCAGTCATTCTCGTCCGAGCACGAGGCGCCTAGAAATTTGTTTAGTAACTGTGAAGAAAGAAATGTTCAGAAGGATTCTTACCGGCACAGTGTCCAGCCCATTCGCAAGAACCTCCAGTAGGGGTGGTGCTAGAGGTAGTTGTGGTCTTCAATGTGGTGGTAGTAGAACCGCCACCACCTCCACTGAGGTTGAGGTTCTTGGCAAGAGCGGTCATGAGCTTGTCACCCATAGAGCGCAGTGTGGTGAAGTTGGTGACGTAGTTCTTGGTGAGAGCACTGCTGGGGAGAATCGACTCATCACCAGTGAAGAGGATGTCTTGTTCAATTAGTACGTGTCAGAATAAAATTATGGATTTTCCAGACTTACAGGTAACATCAGCATCTCCGTGGCCGCTGTTTCCGTTCAGGTCATCATTGGGGAAGCAGGTCCGGGCCATCAACCAGGAGGCCTCGCCGATAACCTCGGGGTCATCGCCATCGGTGTCTCCGAAGATGCCGTAGAACATCTTTCCATCACTAGCTTTTCGTTAGAACAGAACAAAGCTGGAACATCAAAAGAGAGAAAACATACCAGATAACTGCACCGATGTTGTTTCCCTTGAGAGCCGACTCATAGGCTCCCGCGAAGGTATCGGGAATCACAATGAAGGGCACTTCATAGGCAGCCAAAGCGCCGAAGTTGGTCTGTGGCTGGCCATCGGGGTTTCCCTGCACCATGGGGTTAGTAAAAGATCCCAGGCAGACATTGATATAGTCAACATACAACACACTTGTAGTCAAGACCGTCGCAGTCGACATCCATATCCGCGGTCCAAACAAATGCCGCACCCTGTCATTGATTAATATGTAAATCTTGCAAAAAGCTACTGGTGAGAATATATACCTCGCTGAAGTTGGACCAGTCGCTGTGGATAGTCACTTTCTTAGCTCCACTATCGCCGTTGATGGGATAGGTTGCTTTCTTTGCAGCAGTGGTAGCCTTCGCAGCAGCGCTCTTCAACGCAGCGACTGGGATAGATGAGCCAGCAGCGAAGTAGCTTCCTGGGGGGCCGCCATCAGGCTTGTCGAACTTGGAGCCATCCACAGATTGGGCCAAGCCAGTGCCAAACAAGGCAAAAAGGGCAAAGGGAATTGAGCGGCTGTAGGTCATCATGATTGCGGCAGGAGACTTTGAGATGTGTGAAGAAGATGATTGTTGCTTCTCAGGGCCGGGGCAAGTGGTCCTTTATCAACATTTCTGGATCCTGAAACATCAAGCAATTGGCGACTAGTAAATACTACTCCGGCGAACCGGACGGCAAATTGCCACCGAATGACTTTTCTTTTTACATAGTTCATATCACCCCGTCAGCTTCGGCTATGCAGTCGATCCTTCAGTTCTGCAAAGAGTGAGACATACTAATCCAGAAGAGGCAAAATACTACGTTATTCAGCCACAATATCTATAGCTGCAGGACATTAATAAGACCAATTTTGTATTATAAGGAGGACCTCAGGAGATTTGTGCCTGGATGACCGGGATTACTGCGGGGGAGAGAGTTTCAGGCCCTGCATAGCGTAACATCGGCAACAGCGTGATTGAAACGATCATGCAGACCTAACTAGAACTTTCTTAGTTGCAGATATTAGGCATATTAATTATAAACGCGCTTACGGCCTACTCCGGATTAAGAAACTGCTTGGAAAGATCGGCACCCTTCAGTTCGCATATTTGAGGACATCCACAGCTTACAAGGCAACCAATAATCAATATCCTACTAGTCATCCACGCTCTCGTTAAAGCTTGTACTGAATTGGCGAGCTCCACGAGGATGATCAATATTAATAGGTGACCGAAAAGAGTAATACCTATGCTGCCTGGAAGATAATCTAAGAACTTGCCAGGGCGTGGTAGGTGCTGGACCACCCATAGGCCGAGGGGGTATATAAATAGCGAAGGCTTTCTTGATCTTTATTAAAGCTTCAATTCTTGTAGTAATCCTGCGCCCCGCCAGATAGCAAATATTGGAAGGATCATGTATCTTTTATATAGCAATTCTATACAAAAGGTACATGAACACATAAGCACATAAGCATAACTCTCGAACTGGCTAAAGAAAAAAAAAAGAAAACACAAACTATAGCGTAAGTCTGATTCAATCGATCTACTATTGAAATTAATTCTAAATATATAATGTAGAAGTTAAAGAGGACCTTGGAAAACATCCCCTAAAAATATTGTGCCAAAAGGTCAACCATTCTCTTGCTTCAAGCATACTTGATAACTCTTCCCAACGTAGTTACCAAGTAGTTGAGTCATCCTTTACAGTACCCGTGGACATCTCTCAAATAGCTGAGGAGGATAGAAAGATTATGTATATTGGAATATTTAGTTTATGTACCTTTTATATGGAGTTGCCATACAAAAGAAACCTATTTAATTTTCACATCGTTATCCGGTGGGCCCACCAGGAATAGGTAAATGGTGACGAGCATGGCACGATTAATCCATGTACGTACTTATGCTAGCAAGTTCAAAATGACAATTAAACCCCCAGACACATGCAAATCATCAGCCAACGAAATATCCACGTTGATCCTCGGCCAGTAAATCGACTCCCGCGGCCGCCAAAAAAACAATGACTAAGCAATGAGCACGTGACCTACGGGAAACGCTCAACTCCGACCTCGAAATTGTTTCGGAGTGACACCTCGACCAAGCACCCCCGAGACGCCGCCCAAGATGGCCAAGAAAGGTACGTGGGACGAATAAACCCGAATATTCAACCGCATGATGCACCCGCCATTCCGCACCTCAGTTGGGACGCGAAACGGGGCGATGGGCAGCGAAAACCGCGAACCCCCGGATTCATTTGCGGCCGATGGCTAACATTGTCTTTTCCCCCGATATAGCGAAGTCTCGTACCATTGCCGTCCGGCTGATCTCCATGGCCATGACGGGTTACTACCGCACGATGATCCGGCCCCGTGTACACCGTCCTCTCAGCATGATGAAGTACGACCCTGTCGTTAAGAAGCAGGTGCTTTTCCTTGAGGCTACCAAGGGTGGAAAGAACAAATAATCTATTCGATTTGGATCGTTTTTCTTCAATTCGATTGTTGTGCGCCTTGAGAGATATCCGCCTTTCCACCGCGATGCCGACTGATTTCGATATCTTTCTTCCAATCAAACTTCGCCTCTTGCGTTCGTTGCAATCCCGATACGTCGATATCTTTTACTGTTGTGCGGATGTAGGGGAATGCGATAAGGGTGTCAGGGGACCAACCCCTGTATGTACATTATTACACTGGATGCAACCGGGAAATTGTGATTTCCCCGGTTTCCCCGGTTTCTCGGATATTCTGCGGTAAACCTCCTTTTGTTGGAGCATTGTGTTTGGCGTTAAGAGCAATACAGCTTTGGGTACCTCAATAAAACTAAAATAAATATCCCACATTCCACTTATCGCCTTCCGGAGCATGAGACCTGCTCGTGGGGTCTTCACATCCATCCGTTCATGACAACAACAGATTTTTATAAATCAATATTTCAATATCCATGACTTGTCGCACGCACCTTGCTTTTGATAAAGTGAATATGGAGAATTTGCGCAACATGATGAGTGTATAATAATGCAGGAATGGCCTCTCAGGGTCACCACATGTTGAACTGCTCAGCCGGCGTCTTGGCTGAAGCGCTCATTATAGCGGTCTCCTTCTAACCGTCAGCTGGGGCACCTTGGAAAGGCATCAAGCATCTTACCTCGAGTGCAGCGCTTACCGCGGCCTCGCGTGATGCTGACTTGGCCGGCTGTGCTTTCCCTACTGCTACCTGAAGCCAAACCCTTCGGACTCAGTCGTCGTTCCGGGCCATCGGCTGCATTTCGAGGTCTCTTCGGTGGCCTTGGGTTCGCGTTCGAAGACTGCTCATTCTTATCCATTGAGCGCTGCTGAGACCTTCCTACCAAAGCTTTGGTGGCAGGCTGCTCCTCTGTAGTCGTTTCAATCGAGGTTTCCTCCTGTGCAACAGATTGGCGAAGACGGCTATAAGTCCGTTTCTGTGTCCTCTTGACTTCCTTGGTTTTAGACTCTCTCCCAGAGCTGTTGTCTGTTGCGTCTGACATTCGTCTGGCTTTACCAACCTCTGTTTTGGTGAAAACCCGCGTCCCCTCGAAGCTGACTACTTTACGTTTGGTGTTGGGCTGTTCGTTACTGGCAGATTTGTCAATAAACGAACTGGCAGTATCTTCAAGAGCCGACTGAGATCTTTCAATTGTACTGCCATCGGCGCGGGGAGGTTGCATCCCGAGAACAGGGTTAGCTTCATTGGGATCTCGGCTCATTTTCAGAGGCTTAACTGGAACCTTTTGCTGTTCTTGAGCTTTCTTTGGGGCATCATCTGGCATCGAAGCGACTTGAAGATCCGGGGTTGACATAAAGAGCATTTCGAGCTCAGCTGGATCATTGAAAAGCGACATACTATTTTCCCGTGAAAGTCTGTCATGGAGACTTGAAAATGGAACGATATGACCGTGACCAGCAGGGAATTTCGGTAAAGAGTCAACACAATCACCGTGTTTCAAAGCCTTCGGGGGACTAAAAGTATTTGGTGCTAGATGTCCATCTGTCTGCATGTTTCCAGCAGGCTTGCGAGCCTCATTGTTTGATTCATTAGTCTCCAAGAGATCATCCCGTCTGCCCTCACTTGGCTCCGGTGCAAGATTGCTACCTTCAGTCGCCTCCATATTCCCCTTGCCGTGAAGCTTGGTGCAAGGCGTATCGCCAGTGATGGACGGCTGAGCAAGCGAGGACTGAATGATGTCTTCCAGTTTCTGCCATGTTAGGTCGAAAGGCTCGTCGGGATGTACCTCGATCACCTTCGCAATCCCCTCTCTTATAGTCGCTTGCCAGCTTTCAGCCTCCTGAGCCCGGCGGAGGAGTGAAACTATCTCAGCGTCAGCCTCCTCCCCAACCTTCTCTAAAGCCGATGACCGTGATTTGAGCATGGCGAGGTTTTCTTTCATAGCTACAAGCTCTTCAGTCTTCTGGGCCATCTCCAGCTCAAGCACCTGGACTCTCTTTTCTGCTTCCTGCGCCGCTTTCTCTTTCATTGTTGCAGACTCGGTCTTCAGCCCTAGTTTCGCTTCAAGCTCGATTGTCTTTCTGTTCGCTTGCTCAAGCTGTCCAAGGAGCCTCTCCTTCTCCGCGAGGAGAGCGGCTTCGGATCTTTTCAATAATTGTGATTCAGTCTCAATGGTCTTGGCCTCTGTGATGTATTTTGAGCAAGAAAGATTCAGCTCCTCAATTCGTTTCTGTGATTCCTGGTGCTGCGCTTATCAGTAAAGCACATCAAGACGATGCCCCGCACCTCTTACCATGGAGGCCTTTTCTAGTCGCTCGTCCTCGGCTGTCTTTTTGGTTTCGGTCTTCATACTGTTAGTGATCCACTGTCTCATCAGACACGGTCGGGCTTACCAAAGATCCTTGGACATTTGCAAGCTGCGCCTGAAGGTTACTGAAGTCTCTTTCTAGCCTCGTCCTTTCTGTCTCAAGCCCTTGGACTTGTTCTTCGAATCTAGCTTTCATCTGACCCTGCTTGGTGCTTGCAGCGCCCAACTCTTCTCGGATTCTTTGCTCGAGCAATTGAAGCTCGCCTCGCAAGGCCGTCTTCTCAATCTCCAGCCGGGAACTTTGACTTTTCGATGCTTGTTCATTAGTAACAGCATCAGTCAAAGCATGCTGAAGATGTTGATTCTCAGATGACTTGCTGGCAAGTTGCTTTCTAACAGAATCAACTTCAAGGGAGATCCCTTGTAGTTGAAGCTGCAACTGCGTATTCTCGGCGAATTTCTTGGAAACCTCCATCTCCAGAACAGGGTTCCCTGCTGGGATTCGAGCTTCGGACAGCTTCTGACCGAACGTTTCTAGCCCGCGCACGAGGTCTGTTTCTGTTGTTCCCACGACCTTGATAGAAGCATCGAGACTACCGAGCATTGGCTGAACAATCTGAAGCTGTTGTTGCAAACTCCCGTAGCAACTCTCGCTATTAGCAAGTTGTTTGAAAATCGACGAATACGGACCGAGGTTGCCTTCAATTGCTTGAAGGGCTTCTTGAAGGGCTTGAAACACATTTTTGCTCATTTCTGTGCTTCGGTCAACGTCGCTTGCGACCTGACCAGCCAGAGAGTTGAAACTAGAGACACGTCAGTCTACAACATGTGTTGTTCTTTGTTACACTTTCACAGAACTTACCGGGATGTTGCCTCCTGAACGCTGCTGGTAAAGGCTTGGACATCCATGGTCTCGGCAGAGCACTGTTCTTTCAACGCCTGGACCGAAGCAAGACAATATTCAACCGCAGGACTCAGTTTCGAGAGGATATTATCCTGAGATTTGACGCAAGATGTGGTAAACAGCTCGCAGGCAGAGTCAAACCTTTCGGTCATTCTGCGCTGGTCGTTTCTGATGAGGCCCAAGTATCGTGACTGACTCTGGCACTCATTTTGGATGTAGGCTTCTAGAGTCACAATTCGCTTATTCTCGTTTGATAGCTGCGTCTTGATCAAATCGCCTCTTTTCTCTGAATGGTCCAAAGCTTCCCTCAAGCTGGCAACTGTTTCTTCGGACATTGAAAGTCTCTCGTGTTGATCCCGAATTGTCACTTCACTGTTCGAAACCTTCAACTTGATCTCGCCCAAACTGTGTTGGATCTCGATTTTCTCTCGGTCAAGCGACATGGTTGCTTCTTTTAATTTTTTGGCTTGCTCCCGGACTGCGCCATATTCACGGCCAAGTTCGTTGAGGACACCTTTGAATGTCCCAAGTTTTGCCTTCCACTTGTCTATTTGTGCGCGCTGAGATCTTGACTCGGATGATGTTTTGGCGAGCTGTCCTTGGCATTTCTTGAGGCGGTCCTGCAGATTAAGGTTATCTTCCTTCAAGCCCATGTTCTCCTTCTTGAGTTGCCGTTGGATGACTGTAGCCGCGTGCTCGCTTTCCTCTCGCTGTTTCATTTTCGTGATGAGAAGCTCAAATAGATCATCCTCACCGAGCTGAACGCCGTTCTTGCCACCAACGAGCGGTGCGGGCTGCTTGGAAGATGTTTCCTTCTCGGATGCACAGCGTCGCGTCGACGCATGAAGCTGATTGTGTACAAGCTTGAGAGGCACACGAGAGCATGGGTTCTCCGGAACTTCTTGCCTCTCTCTGTGAGGCCGTTGTACCTGGGGTGACTCGGGCAAGGCATATTCAGCTTCACCCGTCTTGTCAATGTCAACAACATGCTCTTCACTCAGGTCAACAACACTTCCTGTAGAGCTAATGGTCTCTCTGGGAGTATCAGACCCGGTGGGCTTATTTGGTTGGCCATTAATCAGTTCCTGCCTTTGTCGGAAACTCTGTTTACCTAGATCTCTAGGTGTGGACCGACGGGCGCTGTCCTTTTTGGGTTCAGCTGCTGTCGAGAGTCGACTTGGTGGCTGAGAAAACACAGCTTGTCCCGTGGGGACTGGTGCCTTGGGTGGTCCTTCTTTCTCAACGCCGCGGTGATTGAGAGGGCTGACCCCAAGAGAACATGTTAGTCCATTGTGAACAGTGGTGTCATCTGGGACCAGCCTGGATCATCTACATACGTGTCTGGCCCGACTAGTTGATGGTTGTGAGCTGCCTCCTCTCCCATCAGTTCCCTTGAAGGTCGGGCATTATCAACTGGGGGGTTGGGGATGGGTGCTTGCTTGGTCAGGTTTCGCGAGTACAAGGGCTTGTATGAGGCGGGCTTGCTGAAGGAGAAATCTAGAACATCAATGCCGGAACTCTCTGGACGCTGCAGCAGCGGCCGCGGCTTTTCAGAACTCTCCATAATGAATATTTATTGGGAGTGATAGGGGGAGTAGCAAAGATGAAGAAATGGTGAGGTCGAGAAATGGCATCCACGTCGAGGAAGCAATGGGAAGGAGCTACCCCGTGACCGAGCCATCTCTACCGTTCCATTCTCAGAGGTCTGTTATAAATATTCAGATTGAAAACCCGAAATAGTTAAACCAGGATAACAGGAAAAGCCAAAAGGATTAAGCACAGTTCAACTAGACAGAAAATGGTAAATACCACCATTTTACCCAGTCACTCACGTTTGGCTAAAGCTCATATAGGGCTAGGTATGAAGACTGAGGGGGCAGATTTACTCCATTTTAAGAAATAGCTAGAAGTCAATATCCATGTCAAACATTTTTTGCCTACATATTATGGGGTAAAAATGTAAAAAGGCATCGAGATACATGTGGGTACGGAGTTTACTTTTATTTCTTAATGCTGCAATTAGGATGACGATCTGTATGAATAAGCCATTGATCGACTCTTGTATTGAGTCTAGGTAACGGAGTATACTAGTTATCATCAAAAGGCCTATATTATTCAAATCCCTTCTGTGTCATGTCTGTGCTAAGACTTGAAAAAGAGAGCAAATATGCCAACACAGAGAGGCCACGTAACTAGAGACTATAATTGTTATGCAATGATATGATATCTCTATGAATCACAAATTTCGTGCATATAGTGCATATGTACTGCAAATAATATAATACAAATGATATAAACTGCCCCATCTTGGTTTCTTGACAGTCAAAATAGCCGAAACCCCTTTATACATGTTTGTTTTACGAAACGCCCAGTTGACAAGGATCACTATTGAATCCCCGGAGCCATTTAATAAGCGTAGTGGGCGCTCTCCAAGGTTAATCTCCCATTTGACAGGGATCTAGAACCCTGCACTAACAATCTGACTGCGCCCACATGCACATGTCAAGTTTGGTGGAACCAATGATACTCAAATTGTTAGAGTCAAAGTGTTAGACAAACATACGTGTTCAGCATATCCGCACCCTAGTGGAGTGAAAAGCTAAAAAAAGACCCGCCTAGGATCCGGGTTTGATCCAACTGCAGCCGACAAAAGTCCTGCATGTGAGGAATCAAATCGTCGAATATTCTACAGGCATTCCAGAGCCGTTCTACGCGACAGTTCCCCGAGACAACTTTGCGTTTGGGCCTAAGGTCAATAACGTGGCGTCCACGAGATACGGGAGAAATATGTAGGACATCTCACACGCGTGCTAGATAGTGATCAGTCGATTGCATGCTTCTAGGATAGCTCCTGGTTCCAAGATCAAACGGAAGTGATTACTTGACATTCCAATTTGAAACTCCAAGGAATCAGAATAAGACAGAAAACTTGGTAAGATCAAATCAAGTTCAAGTTTCACAGAGTCTCACAAAGGAAGATATCTTGTTGGGCGTCGGGTATAATAAATGCCTAAATAGTGATCTACATCGTATTATAGCCATCAATCTTGTAGAATTACCAATCCTGCCCCTAAATCTCCAAAGAACACCTGTTTCAAACGGAATTTTGATCGCCAGGATGTTCGTCTAGGATCATAATGGACAAGTCACCGAATTGAAAAGTCTGTGCATTTAGCGGATATCATAGCCTCCGCTCTGCCCAAGCGGGCCCCGGTCGAACTGGGCCAGGGCTATATGCTCTCCACCTAACTTCATTCCTTAAAAACCCGATGTTCGGAGACCGTGGGGGGAGGGATATGTATATCCGTATGGTAATGGTCATTGTTCAATACTTCCACAGCACATCGTAGATATCCAAGAGAGATGGGAATCGATATCTTTCACAAAACAACTAGTCCTGAATAGTAGCTGCACGATGTAGATCGCACGGCATTCAAGACCAGAATAAGCATAGTAAAAGGGCCCTTTTCTTTCATTCCCCTTTCCCCCATTTTTTTGCGCGTCACGCGTGATTGGCCCGCAATTACTGCCATTTCTTCCAGACCGCTCACCCGCTTCATCCCCTTTCTTTCATCTGCTTCACCTCCCGAAGGCAATAAATTCTTGGTGTGTCATTTGACATATCTGTTTTTCTACTTCTTCAATTTTTTTTGTGGCTCCTTAGCAAACCCGAAACTGGTGTGTTTCGCGAACTCCCGGACCCTCACATTCTCTCGATATACATATCCTGCAGGCTTGGAACCTTGAATCTTCTATATTTCTCTTGAAGAGTTGTAGTGGCCTTCTTGTTTCATCTAGTCTTGTCTAGATCTCAAAAATTCACATCTAGACCTGCATCGATAATCTTCGCCCGATTCTGAAACATTTGACCCCCGCTCAGCCGTTTTACCTTCGGAGTTCAACATCCTATGGAGATTGCGATTTAAGCTCGATATTCGCCGAAAATCCGTCTCCTCTACCCACTCGTGGTTTGCCCGAATACCGCTTTTGACGTGATTATCATTCAACCGGAGGAATTTTTGGGACAAGTGTGATGTTGCTAGAAAGATACTAGTCAACCTTGATTACTTCGACCGTCGGTCTATCTTCACAACATGGGGAACACCCAGGGGAAACCAGTGAATTGCAACGATGCAGGTAGGTTTACTGGACACGAATCGGACGTTATCAGGACTTCCTGAGTCGCCGAGGATTGTTTCGAATAATATGCTAATCATTTTTTCCTACTAGTCAACCTCAATCATTTCCGGCTCCTGCGAGTTGTTGGAAAGGGCGCATTTGGAAAAGTACGGATTGTCGAAAGGAAGGACACAGGTCTTACATTCGCCCTAAAATATATCCGCAAAGAAGAAGGTTCGTTGGAGGTTCAAAGCTGCTGAGGTGATAGAGCTATAAACTGACAACTCGTTTCAGTGGTCCGTTCGGAAAGCGTACGAAATATAATTCGTGAACGGAGAATGCTCGAGCACTTGAACCATCCGTTCCTTTGCAACTTGAGATACAGTTTCCAGGACATGGAGTATATGTGAGTATCCTTGAATTGATCCTTACCGCTCCCTGCTGACCGAGTTGAAGCTATATTGTGGTTGATTTAATGAACGGCGGCGATCTTCGATTCCATATCTCCCGAAAATGCTTCACGGAGGATGCGGTACGGTTTTGGATGGCGGAACTAGGGTGTGCTCTGAAGTATATCCATTCGCAGGGTATCATTCATCGAGATTTGAAACCGGACAATGTTCTGTTGGATTCTGATGGACATGTTCATTTGGCTGATTTTGTGAGTTCTATCGGCATGGATCGCATCTACGTGAGCTTCAGTTAACTTGAATTTCCAGAACGTGGCATCGGATTACCGACCGGGGAAGCCCCTTACTAGCAAGTCAGGAACACTCGCCTACCTAGCCCCAGAAGTCTATGAAGGAACTGGTTATACCTTTGAGGTCGATTGGTGGTCATTAGGTGTCACCTTTTACGAGTGCATATACAACAAGGTACGAGAGATCGGCTCCTCGTCTATTGCCCCCGTCTAACTTTTAGTGCAGAGACCATTTGAAGGCCGAAGCCAAGAAACACTCAGCGAAAACATCAAGAAGGCGCAACCAAAATACTACGTTACCAATCCTGCAGTATCAGTAGCTTGTTTGCGGGCGTTGGGATCATTGATGCAAAAAGATCGGAGTCAACGAATTGGCGCTATCGGGTTTGAGAGCTACACCTCGCACATGTTCTTCAACGAAATCGACTTTAATGCCCTGGAGCGCAAACAGATCCCGCCAGTATTTGTCCCATCAAGCGACAAAACCAACTTTGATGCGACTTATGATCTGGAGGAACTGCTTCTTGAAGAAGCGCCATTGGAGGCTAGGGCGCGCAGGCAAAAACCGCGCGCTGAACTGAGGGATGATGCCACCGCGAAAGAAATCCGAGATGATGAGCTTCATCGTCTCATTGAAACAATGTTTGAACCGTTTGACTACACTCTGACTAGCTACCAAGGCAATGCCGCGGAAGCTATTGCTGCTGTAATGTGAGTTCCTCTCCCCACCCAGACCATTGTCCTCCTGTGCTAACAGTGTCTTCCAGAAATCCAGAGGAGTGCTTCCCAATGGCCACTACAACCCAAGGGAACACGACAAGCCCAGCAAACCCAACCGTACATGCCCGTCAATACTCACACCCCGACCCGTCTAAAAATACATCGCCTATCCAAGCCGACGGATCGCACTACCGTGCTCCACCGAGTGAAACCATGACTACACTCAGCGAGACACTCGACCCCAATGACCCCGCAATTAATCAGGCTCCTTCTTCCCCATCAACCCGCGTGTCGCCTTCACCGCCGCCTGCCCCGTCCTTCCACCGACCCCTTCCCCCAAACCACAACAGTCGACACCGCGGTGCCACCCGGCAAATGAGCAAAAGTGGCGGCGTACAAATGGTTCTGAACGAACATGGCAGCTGGAGTGAGCTGGCCCATAATGCCATTCCCGCTGATGGAATGGAGAGTGGTGATGACAAGGGCAAACAAGCCAATGGTATGCTATCATTCTTCAGTCGGAAGAAGGGCCGCGACCGCAGCCCCAAGCCGACTGAGCCAGGTGTTCTGGGCAAAGAGGGAGCTAGACAGATCATTAGCTGAAAGGCTCGCCCTTGGTGAAAACCAATTGGCGCTCATGCGGGTGGCGCTGTCCCTGCTGACAATATACCCGCACAATATGGGCTATTACGCCAACCTATATGGTTTCTGCTCACATTTGAGTTTCAAATCTCGACCCGGAGATCAGTGCTACCCAGTTTAGCACCCAAGGAGGTCGGCGATTAAATGTCACTTCTTAACTCCTTGGCCGGGTTGCCACCACTTCGACACGTTCCGGTTCCCGCTCCATTGGGGGCGGCCGGAGGGAGACGGCCTTGTTGACTCTGTCTGATTGCATTTCTCTGCGTTGATCTCTGCAGCAAGAGATGCAGTGCTTGAGGCACCATCTCCCTTTCATTCTATTAGATTCCCCGGGCACAGCGTGAATTCATTTATCTCTTATCATCTCTATATATCATCCTTTCTCGTCATGTCTCCATCTTCCCCCCTCACAGCTGTACAGATACTCATGACAGACACCGCGCTTTGAAATTTTCTTATATACTCTTTCGGTAGGTTTTCACTGTCCCTTTTTTCGCAATGATGTCTTTCACCTTGTATTGTTTTGGAGTTTGCATACCCTGACTCGTTGATATGAACCTTTGTATTTTGGTTAGAATGGACCGGAGCTTGCATGTCTATGTGGACTGGAGGTGTATTTAATGATACTTGCATTTCAATATATAAAGTTCGGCTCTCCATCTAGTTGTATGGCGTTGAAGATAGATTCCTCAACCGTTCACAAAATAACTGTATGGTCCAAAACTAACATGGCATATATTGCAATAAACAAAGGGATTCAGGGGAACATTATACTTGGCATTGAGACCTTGGCAGGATCTCCCGTGTGGGGAAAAAACAAAACAAAGCCATACAAAATCCCTTAGACCGACCCGATATAGATTCCAAGAATTCCAAGACAGGCTGGGCTTTTTAAATCCCACGTGTTAACTCAACCTCGACATCTTCCATTCCTCTTCTCTTTTCCATCGAACACCAACCCACCAATCATCCCCACGCGCAAACAATTCCACATTCCATCCCACCGATCAGCGCCTACACCAAACACCCCCACCCACCTGGCATGCCAAGCCAATCCCGAGACAGACGGGACCGTGACCGTGACCGGGATCGGGATCGCGACCGCACACGAGAACAAGAGCGCTCGCGCCGCCGAGACCGAGACCGCGAGTACATCCGCGGCCGCTACGAAGACGACGAAGGCGCAACATCCAGCCCTGGCAACGCGCGTACAGCGAAATACCGCTTCCGCGGTGAACCTGGTTACGAATCGAACTCACACAACGAGCGCGATGATTACGATGAGGAGCGTGAGCGGCGAAGGGAACGGAGGCGCAGACGGAGGGAGGAAGAGGATGAGGCGGCGGGACTTGCTTACGGGGAGTCTGGGGAGGGGAGGAGACGGGATCGGGAACGAGAACGGGAGAGGGGAAATTCTAGGGTGAAAGACTCGCCTGCTGCGTCGCCTACTAAAAAGCGGGATCGCGAGAGACGGTATCGCAGAGACGAAAGTCCGAGTGCGAGTCCTGTCCGAGAAAGACGGAGGGAAGTTGAAGTTGATGCTGAGGCTGAAGCGCGTCGACGGAGACGGCGCGAGCGCGAGCGCGAAAGAGAAAGGGAGCATCAGCGGGAAATGGATGCTGCTGCGTCGCCGGCGAGGAAACATCGCAGCACCGAGTCTTCGAGTAGTGCTGCGCATCTCTTGAGTGTTGATGCCATGGCACGACTTGCTGCTGAGCATGAGGATGTGGATCGCAGGGAGCGGTCTCGCGGAGGAGATGATACACGTCGGGAACGGGAAGCTCGACGACAGCGGAAACGAGCTGTGTTAGATGATGCTGCTGGTGCGGCGCTTGGTGCTGGAGTTGCGCAGGGTCGCTCGCGCCATCAAGCGGGTGCGCGAGTTGTGTCTGGTGCCCATTTGGAAGAAGGTCATAGCTCTGATGCTCGGGTTCGTCGTCGTGGCGGTGGTGGACCTGCTGTGCATGATCATTGGAAAGACGAAGATAGCTGGGAGGGTAGCTTGGAGAGTCGTGGGCCACCGGCTTGGAAATTCTGGTCTAATTGGTCGAGAAAGAAGCGTATCTTGGTCGGATGCCTGCTGGGAGTGATCCTCTTGCTTGCCATTGTCATCCCGGTTGCACTTGTTGTTTCAAAAAAGAAAGGTTCGGATCCAAAGCCGAATTCCTCGGACTCTGGTGACAGCAGTTCTCCTACCTCTAATTTGGGTAGTATCAGCCGGGACAGCATACCGGTAAATATTGAGTCTACCAACTTGATGGAATTTGCTGACAACAGTATTTCAGAGTTACGCCAAAAACACCGTCCTGGATCCATTTATATGGTATGAGACCGATGGATTCAACCTCACTTTCACAAATGCCACTGTTGGTGGTCTTTCCGTCATGGGCATCAACTCGAAGTGGGATGACTCTGCCCGGCCGAACGACAAGGTGCCTCCTCTCAACAAGCCGTTCCCTTACGGCTCACAGCCAATCCGCGGAGTCAATCTAGGCGGATGGCTTTCTATCGAGCCGTTCATTGTCCCGTCCTTGTTCAGCAAGTGGCCATCTAGCGCCGGTGTCATCGATGAGTATACCTTGACCAAAAAACTAGGAAACTCTGCGGCGGGCACGTTGGAGAAACATTATGCCGAATTCATTTCAGAATCCGATTTGAAAGAAATCGCAGAAGCCGGACTCGATCATGTCCGCATCCCATACTCCTACTGGGCTGTGAATACCTACGACGACGACCCATACGTCCCCAAGATTGCGTGGCGCTATCTCCTGCGTGCAATCGAGTGGTGCCGCAAGTATGGACTGCGCATCAAACTCGACCTGCACGGACTCCCCGGAAGTCAAAACGGCTGGAACCATAGCGGCCGACAGGGCAGCGTCAACTGGCTGGAAGGCTCGGACGGTGATCTGAACCGTAAGCGGTCACTTGAAATTCATGACCAACTCTCGAAGTTCTTTGCCCAAGATCGGTATAAGAACGTGGTGACAATCTACGGTCTAGCGAACGAGCCGTTGATGCTGAAGCTCCCCGTCGAAAAGGTCCTAGATTGGACGAAGGAGGCCGCAGAACTCGTCCGCGAGAATGGTGTTACTGCCACTCTTGTCCTGCATGATGGGTTTTTGAATCTCGCCAAGTGGGACACCATGTTCCAATCTCACCCGGACAACATGTACCTCGACACCCATCAATACACCACCTTCAACACGGGTGAGATCGTCTTGAACCACACCGCTAAACTCGATGTTATCTGCAATAGTTGGCACCCCATGATAAAGGAGATTAACACAACAACATCTGGGTAAGTTGGGCTCGCTTTCATTTTGTAATTTCGTATGCTAACGCCCAATCAGATGGGGTCCAACCATTTGCGGTGAATGGTCACAGGCAGACACCGACTGCGCGCAATATGTGAACAACGTTGGCCGAGGCGCCCGATGGGAAGGGACCTACGATACCAGTTCCACTACGGCATATTGCCCAACAGCGGACGAAGGAACCTGCAGCTGCGCCGATGCCAACCAGGACCCATCGGATTATTCGGCCACCTACAAGAAGTACCTGCAGACATATGCCGAGGCACAGATGTCTGCCTTTGAAACGGCGATGGGGTGGTTCTACTGGACCTGGCGGACGGAGTCAGCCGCCCAATGGAGTTACCGGACTGCATGGAAGAATGGGTATATGCCTAGCAAGGCATATAGCCCTTCGTTCAAGTGCGGAGATACAGTGCCCGACTTCTCCGATGCAGCGGAGAGTTTCTGATATGATTTTACATATACTACCATTTGTTGCATTTTGCGTTTCATATTTTTGTTTGCATAGATACCATGGATAAAGACTAGATTTCTTTCTTGCATATGATTTCAATACCCCCATCTGGATATTGGATATCTTCCCCCATCTCAGCTATTTCTCCGAAGTCAAAATACCCTGCTACGATTTCATCCCATCTATGCCTCAAACCATCCTCCAGCCTCCCACACGCCAGGACGATAAACAACCTCCTCCCGCACCCACTGAAGCCTAACACCCCCAAGCAACCGATCCACTCTCTGGAAATCAATCGGCTTCATGACCCACCCATCAAAGCCTGAATCCATATACATCGTCCGATTCTCCTCGAGCAAGGAAGCAGATACAGCGAAAATGGGAATGCGAGGCGCAGGCGTGGTCTCATTGGCCAGCTCCTGCTGCTCGTATTCGCGTATCATCTGTGTTGCTCCAAGGCCGTCGACGATAGGCATCTGCAGGTGGAAATTGAGCGTTAGTATATATATAGATTGAGTTAGGAATAGTGTAATTGTTTAATGGACGTACTTGTAGATCCATTAGCACTGCGTCGAAACGAGTGGGATTCGATTTGTAGGCTGACGCGCATTCCTTGCCATTGCTTGTCATGTGCACGGTGTGGCCGAATTTCTCAAGGCGCTTCTGGACGATACTGCTGTTGATCGGATCATCTTCTGCGACGAGGACGTGGAGGTTCCAGTCCATTGTGGGAGAGGCACTTGGTTGGCGGGTTTGAGGCTGGTCAGTTGGGGATTTTGAGGTTGGTGAGACCCAGAAGGTTTCTCTGATAGGCGATTTGGATCCTTCTGATGATTGTTTGGGATCTTGAATTGGAAGTGAAGTGGTCGGTTTATCTGGCTGGTTGCTCTGGTCGAGCTGTTGGCCAGAAAGGGAGAGGCTTCTTGGTTCGCCTGTTTTCAGGCTTACATCGACGGTTACGATGGATTCCCCTGATTCAAATTCTGATTTTTGACCACATTCACATGGAATGCCCCCTTCTTCCTGGTTCTTTGCGCATCGTGAGGATGAAGTGTCTTGCTTTGTGTCTTGTTTTCTTTCATCTTGCAGATGTTCGTTTGGCGTAACACATGAGCTCTGCTTTTGACTATCTTTATCTGGAAGAGGAAAAGCAAGCCTGATCTTGAAGCAACTTCCCTTGCCTTTTTCAGACTTCAAGCTTAACTGCCCGTTCATATTGCGCACGATTCGGGCAACTAGTGCGAGGCCTAGACCAAGTACACTTTCAGTCTCGAGCACATTGCTACCTGAAGTTTCCTCGTATGACTTGGGATTCTGCATATATCCCTTGTTGGAGACTTGTTCTAGCTCACAGAACAATGTTTCGACAGTCTTTTGGGACATCCCAGATCCGGTATCGTGTATTGCCACTTCGACACAGATATGATCTGGCTCCAGTAGCTCCGGTACGACACAAGACTCGATTGTTATTGCCCCAGTAGACGTGTGCTGTATAGCATTACTGATCAAGTTTGTGATTACCTGGCGTACCCGTCGTTGATCTCCAAGGACGGGAGGTAAGGCTGCATGTTGAACTACCTGTAGATCGACATGCTTCTGTCTTGCTTCTTCCCAAAATATGTCCGTTGCTTCAGTGAGGGTCTCCGATAGATCGAATACCTCATCCTTTATCAACCGTTGTCCGTTTTCGGCATTTGTAAGGTCTAGAAGGTCATTGATGATGTATACCAACGACTTGGATGCCGAGTGAGATCTGGAAATGTGATCTCGTGTTTCTTGATCCAGAGAACCATCGAGAACAATTTCCAGATAGTTGATGATGGCATTGAGAGGTGTTCGGAACTCATGCGCAGAATTGGCGAGTAAAAGTCTCATTAACTGGTTGTTCTGCAGTGTAGCCTCCTTCTCTTGCCATATATCGGTGAAAGTGCGATATAGCAAAGACAGAACAGATGCCTTTCCAAACTCTGCTGAGGACCACTCATATTGTCGACTCGATTTATGTGAATCAGACGCGAGGCCATGGCTTTCCAAATCAGCCCGGAAGAAGATGATAAAATCACGACCGTCCACTGAAAGAGGAACGTAAAGCAAGCCAGAAAGATGATGGAAGCCGCGCGAGTAGTTGAGGTCCTGAAAATCGGCAGCCATATCTACAGACCAAAACACACTGTCGTTCTCTTTGGCTTTCATGTATTCAAACAATGCCAACACTTCCTGCGAGTCGACCGGTTTTCCCAAGATCTTGGCCTCGCCCATAATCGACACTGCGGCATAATCTGCCCCGAACAGACTGAGAAGATCACCTGGTGGAGTCTTGATAGCCTGAGGCGTGCTTGATTTATTGAGGGAGATGTCTGGCTCTCGAAATTGAAAGGGTAAGGTGTAGGAAAGACGCTCAATGTTACTCGAAACCGCCTCGGCTACAAACCAACAAACTTTCTGAATGAGCGGATGGAGCCTTGAGCTGTTGTCATAAGACTGACATGATATGAGATTCCAAAGCTTGCCAAACACATTGATCTGAATTGACAGACAAACCTCGACAGGACTGACGGTGTTCGATTTTGGGAGCACCGGTGCTGCAGAGAGATATGTTTTTGACATGTCGAGGGGTCTTTTGTTGGTGGAAGCCCGATACACAAGCTTCGAAGTACCCTGACTTCCAGAGCAAGAGGAGCATACAGTGTTCCGCGTATATAGTTTCTTTAATCCTTCAGTGAAGGTTGATTCCGGGAAATGCATGCCTTCGTACGAAGTTAACCCCGACGAAGGGTCAACCGCATCGGCGACCACGATTCCGTTGCGATCACTATCAAAATGATACATCGTCGTTCTGTCGAATTGAACAAGATTCTGCAAAGTGGTGATGGTATGTTGAACGAGCGCTTCCAGCGTTTGGGCATTTGCAAGTCGCTGGACAATTCGAGGAATGGTATTGAGAAGCTCCAATGAGTCTGGAACATTTCTATTACTCATGTCAACATCCTTTCCGGGAGGGCTGACGTCCTCAAAAAATGCCCCGGAAGTCATGTCCAAGCTCCGACTATCCGATACCGTTGTTTGACTCTCGGGATTCCCGAACTCAGGGTGATCCTTTGAGTTTCGACCCTCAGGCTGCAGCTCGCAGATCACATAGTTCTTATATACTATGCTCGTATGCATGGTACACCAAGTACCCTGGGCGAATCCGTCCGATGATAACACAGAAAGGAAGAAAACCTCAGGGCCAGAGTGCTCGACAGAGTATTCATCGCTCAAAACGAATTGAGCATGAGCAAGAAAGTTGCTCCGTTGTGAGGATGGCAATATATCACAAAATGTTCGAAGCTCGAAGAGTTTGTCAGGAGAATGCCCAATGATGTCCTTCGAGTTGTCGCTCGCTATCTGCACTTCAAAGTTACCGTTGGACTCTGTCACCACAACGAGTGCACCGAATGACTGAATGAAAATGTCCTCTTCATCTTCGTGAGAGTAATATATCCCCTTTGTTGTTTTGTGAAAGTCAAGGATCTCGCCACCGTTTTGCACAGTGTTTTTCAATTGTGTCAGAATGTCGAGATTATTGTAGGATTGCCCTTTTGAGATCTCGCTCCCGCCACCACTGCTTTGATGTAGTCGAGTGAGATAGTCGGGTCTCCTCGAGACACCATCCTCAGCATTTATGCTCTTGCCGGGTGTATTCTGATTCTTCTGCTGACAGCCCGCTTGTTCATCGGCGAAGCCTGCACTCCATGTGTCCGAAAAAGGAGATACCGGTGTTTCGAGCTTATCAAGGGAAGGCGTCTGCAGAGCAGATGATGGCGTAGAATCAAACGAAACGACCGAGCGAACGGGAAAGACTCTTTCCGCCGAGTCGGTGCCCAGCTGAGGCAATTTTAACTTGGGGGATAGTAGCTCGGCTACCATTGATATCTCAGTCTTGTTGTCAGACATGATACACATGGTCTTTGGTATAGACAACGTTCGCGCGAGAGACTGCCTCCTTCCGGAAGGCTTTTCTTTCTTCCTTCCACTTTGGTCATCGTCATTCGGGTCATAGTAAATGACCGTCCAATCGCCGTTTTCCTTAATGTCGGACGGCGAAGACATATTTCAGTCTTCAATCATTGGCAGATAGAAATGTTGAGAGGGGCTTGAAGTAAGAAGACTAACAGCGTTAGCTCTAAGCCAAGCACCAAGTTTGACAGGAAGCTGCTCACGGAAAGGTAGTAATATATTCACGCCGTTAAGAAATGATTAGCAAAACCAGAGTCATTGTGCATCAAGTATAATTTGGGCAGCACACACAGTGTATGAAGAAAAGCAAACGAAGAGGGTATACGGTGTGAGATTGAAAGATCTCCACGAATTGGCATATTTCGACCGAGGTTACCAAGGGAGTTTCTTCCCCAGCTCATGCCTTCTCCTGAGCTTTCAACCTATCAAAGGATCAGCCACCGGAAACAAGCTTTCTCCCTGGGAGCATGTCCTCGGTTCCCTTGTCCGGTTCGCCGGAGACTACCATGAGGAAATCACTCGCACTCCTTTGGACCAGACTCTCAAATCCATGATATGAGCTTCGGCAAATGGTCTAGTCAAATGGATGGCCCTGGCTTGAACGTATACCAAACCATTCAAGGAGTGCGAACATTTTCGCTGAGCCTCATCCGCGCTCAAAATTTGACAGATTTGGCGAGCTGGTCAGTTCCATGTGCTTCGAATCAAAGATCTCTTGGGCATTACCGGCAATCATGTCAGAGCGTAGGGAGGCGACTTCGGCGAGTCCGGAGTAGAACCATAGAACCTGACATGGAGGTAGCTGTTCCGGCCCATCGAGGATTAGCTCAGCTCGAATGGAAGACACCCCACACATTCCACAAAAGATGAGTGGTGTGCTCAACTGTGTGACAAACGTGTTGAATGGCTACATTGAAAACGGCTTGGAGTTGATAACTGAATTCCCAATTAGCTTCTGTCATGCCATATCAAGTATCGAGATGAAGTCAGAATAGACCATAGAGGTTCATTGATTCCACTCATTGCCGTCAAATAGAGGCATATTGCAACATTGCGACTAGATTCCCCTGTCCATAGGGACGGCAGTTATCATCCAGGATCGCAGGTATCCCAGTCGGACTACAATGCCGAGCCCCATTGTGAAATCGCCATATCTAAAATTGGACGGAAATCTGACTCACGGGAATTGTGTCCGGATGCATAGGAGGCGCGAGGCCAGTCAAGAAATAACCAAGGTTCCACCACTCTTTGGCGTAGAGCAACCCTAGGCCGAGTATAGGGAGAGAAGGACACCTAGACGAATGTTTTGACATAGAAGCACAAAGTTCAAGAGATGTACGAGATGAACCAATAAAATATAATATCAAACAAGAAATGAGATAAATCTAGCAAATGTACTTGAAACACGTTCTCCACGCCAACCGGGACTCCCCGAAAATTCTCTCCAAATATAATTTCATAATTCGTTCACGGGTATCATGCTGATTACCAGCGTCGGCCATAAACCGAGTGCTCATGTCGTGCCCGGCTGGGTTGAGCCTCATTTCCCTGGCTGCGTGGGGCAGACTGTGATGACTCCCGAGAAGAGGAAGGAGCGGACTCAGTCTCATCCCCGGTATTCAGCAGCCGAGTGGGTTGGTTGAAATCCAGGGTGGTCTGGTTATCCGTGAATTTGGATTCTGCATCACGACCGAAGAGTGCCATCATGTCGCGCATGGTGAGCTTGCCAGCACCGGTCTTGCCCTCGATAGTGGCATTGGCGAGTTCGCGCTTGCGGTCTTGCAGGGCAACGATGCGTTCTTCCACGGTACCCTTGATGACCATCCTGTAGATTTTCACGTCGACGGTTTGATTCAGGCGATGTACACGATCGATGGCTTGTTCTTCCACAAACTAGATTCAGGGTTAGCACAATGCGCAATAGATTATAGAAAATTGTAACATACGGGATTCCAAAAGGGCTCCAAGATGACGACGCGGCTAGCGGCTGTCAGATTGAGGCCTAGTGCACCAGCACGCAGACTGCAGAGCAACACACGAGTGCCGCTGTTGTTGCGAAGCTTTTCGAGACTGGCCTCGCGGTGGTTATTTGTCATTCCACCATCGTAGCGGGCGAAGCCAATATTAGCACTCTTCAAGAAGGGCTCGATCTTATCAAGCATAGACGTAAAGACGGAGAAAACAATGAACTTGAAGTCCGGTGCCTCGCGGTTGAGAATCCGCATAAGGTGGCGGATCTTTGTTGATGGAAGCTCTCCATTTTCTCCTTCATCGTTGTAGATGTCCTCCGCTTCGGAACCGCTTTCATCTTCGGAATCGCTTAGAACGATGGGCTTGCTCTTCCTTCTGGATGGGGATTCAATTTCGATCTCATCATCGGTTTCATCGTCCGAAATGAGCCATTCACCACCTCCTTCAGCGTTTTCGTCGTCCAAACCACCGGCCTTCCCGAGGTTAGGAAGCTTGCGCTGGTCATCAGGTACAACCCAATCGCCTTCCTCTTCATCTTCGTCGTCACTGTCGATAATGACCCGTCGATTTTTGCGGGAACGAGCAAGTTGTGCGTCAGATTTGCGGGCTGTCGGGGAGTCCAGAATATCAAGCTTCTTGTGGCTCTTCTTTGATTTCTTTTTCTTCATTTTATCTGTGCCTATAACATTGGTATTCAGGTCGGCTTCGCATTCACCACATCGACTGCCACCGGCCTTGATTTCGCCAGGACTCAGATCTGTTTGGCAAACATCGCATTTCTTTGCGACAACGCTCATTGCCCCGAAAAGATCGGCCATGCTGTCAAGGTCATCCGGCTTTGACTGTGTTGACTGGCTATTTGTACTGCCATTCTGCAAAAGAATATCCTTGTCTTTGGCCAAGTCACCCTTGACCAAGTCTGGGTGGTTACAAGCCTGACGAAGACGCAACAGCAGAACCAAAGCTCCAGCATAATCAACCTTGGCACCACCCATCATTTTCTCAAGACTATTATCCGTCCGCTGTTCCAGACGTTTGTAGAAGTTTAACTCCCCAGGCGTGAATTCGGGATCGACCTTGATGACCTCACGCTTGGTGATGTGGAATCCATTCGAGGACTTCTTTGGCTTGCCGTCTGGTCCTTCTTCGCCAGGCTTCACATTGTCGTTCAGTCTGAGGACATCCTTCGTGCGGCGTTTCATAAAGGCCTTCAAATAGACCTGTAGTCGCTGGATAGCCAAGCCTCCCCGGCCATTGTTCAAAGGCCGACTGATCTGATCTCTCCATGCAGCCAAGTCGTCATAGGGCTTCACCCGAAGGAATTTGATCAGACTCTGCAACTCATCGAGGTTATTTTGCAATGGGGTTCCTGTCAAGCACCAGCGGTATTGGGCGTCCAATGCATATGCTGACTGTGTGGCTTTGGCGTTACGATTCTTGATTGTGTGCGCTTCGTCAAGGATAATACGGTACCAATGAACGGCGAAAATGCCAGACTTTTTGGCCTTGTCTGATGCTGACGAGTTGAATTCGGAGGTAAGAGTTCCATATGTTGTGATCACAACATCATATTTGTCCAGCGTCGTCGCAGTCTTTGCGCGTGTTGTACCGTGATAGAGGCAAACACGCAGCTTGTGGGACGGCTCAACTTTGTCCTTGATTTCTGCCTCCCATTGCTTGATGAGTGCAAGGGGCGCAATTACCAAAGTGGTGGGAATGCAGTTTGGGGGCAGCTTGGTCGTCTTGCCCTCGGATTCGGTGTTTTCGCTGTCTTCGTGGTCGGATTTACGGTTTTTGAGCAGCAAAGCAATCGCTTGCACTGTTTTGCCCAAACCCATATCATCTGCAAGGATTCCTCCTTTGGGGAAAATTCCTTTCGAGGTCTTTCGGCCAGTCTCCTTGTCACACATCCATCGCACACCCTCAATTTGATGGGGAAGGAGGGTCACTTTTAAGCCTTCGACGACTCCTTCATCTTCATCGTCGGAATCCTCCTCCTCTTCTTCTTCTTCCTCATCTGCTGCTTCGTCGTCTTCTTCATCTTGCCGGGCAATTTCATCGTCTTGCTTAACCTTGGTAGATGAATCGTGTTCAGGCTTGACATCATCATCCTTCGGGTCGTTGACCGTGACCCCTTGAAGTTGAGCAGCAAGATCATCAAGGTCGTCAATCGCCTGTTCCTTCTTCTTGTCCACGACCACTTCCTCTTCCTCTTTCTTCTGCGAGGTCTTCTTGGACTTCTTCTTTCCGCCCTTCTTCTTCTTGCCTTTAGGTTTCGACTCAGCCTTGTCCTCATCATCCTCGAATGCACCCTCAAGCAAAGCTTTAATGTTTTCGTTTGCCATAGCCGTATCCACATAGCCATTCATGTCCATGGCCCCGAAGCTCGGGGTCGCATAGGCTGATGCCCTTGGAACAGGATCAGTCTCATCGCGTGTGAGATCGATGAATTTCTGTATGTTCTTCGATGCACCTGCCATTGGTGGAACAGGCTTGGACTGATAGATAGGCCTAGGGGCCCGAGGAGTTGTCCAAGTGACATTCTCAGGGCGCTTGATACTAACTGCGCCATGATGGAATCCTCCGCGAGGGTTGTTGTAAGCCGACGGCGCCACCGGCTTGAATGGATCCCATGGCTCGCTTCGCTTCACCAAGGGCGTAGCGACTGGGGCACCGGAAGTGCTTGATGGGCGATAGGCGTGAGGCGTAGCACTGGACTGACCTTGGTGACGCGATTGTGGCTGATGTTGCGGCTGTGGTCGAGGGGCGGCTCGATGATGTTCGGCACGAGATTGATTCGGCTTCGGAATGTTGAAAAGGTGGTTTGATCTGTGTTGTGGGGGGCCGATCGGCGAGGGTTTTCCGAATTCAGGTTCCTGGACATGCGCGGGGTGAGCCTGGGTGTTTGGTTTTCCCCCTGGAGTGAGAGGCTCCAATGGCGCGTTGCTTTCTCTAGCCATTTTGTTTTAACGAGTGGTGCAGTTTAGGGGATATTTAGATGGGTGAACAGGTTGGTTTGTTGAATTCAATGGATGACCAAGTCCGGATGATCTGATCTTTGGGCATCAATTCCGATGAGCAATCTCGAAAGCACTGGAATTTGGCGTTAGTTGTGTTCTCTGTCAGGCTCGACCACTTTTTGGGGGTGGGTTTAGCGATTGAAATGTCGAGTTCAAGAACGTCAAGCGAATCAAGGAGAAACTAACCCTTAGATGATGCCTTGAATCCGAAGCCCTGGAGTGTTTTGTCGATGGTGGGGGTTTGCAGACATCAAAGGGAAAAGGGCCGTTATCACAAAGGTTATCGTTTTGTTTGCGGTCGGCCTAGCAACGGTTGATGCCCCAGGCAGAAATAGCATTTCAGGCAAAAACCAGGAACATCTTGTTGAGATGCAGAGTCCCGAATGATGATACATTACAGCGCTACTAGTTGCGAACTGGCCGGGATATGCAGGCCACCATCGAACATTTACGCAACGTCTGTTGACCGCCATTCAATTTCCCCCTAAATTTCTTATACCTCCTAGCCAGATTGTGATATATAGTTCCTTTCTGATTCTATAGTTCCAAGAGTTCATCTTGCATTTTATTCTTTCTTGTGGTGTACATTGTTCTTAACATATGTTCGTCACATCTATCCATAACTGGTCACTTCTAGTGCTTGTACGCCATCCCGATCGTCTATGAAAACAAACTCATATTCTCCTCGGGTGCCTACATACTACTTGATCAAGGGCCATTGATCCACTTTTCTCGCAGCCACATGATATTCATTCGGACCACTAGGTGCGTAGAAGGAGAGAACACCTTACGAAAACCTTTCACTGCCTTCAACCTTAAACTTTGGACCTCGTATTAGCATATAGTTATCACAAGTTATATATGGAAAGCTTGTTTGGTGGGAAATACGCATTTTATGAGTTACGGTGAATTATTCACCCTGCCAGATAGGAGAATGTTTGTTGCAGAAAGGAAAGCAAGTGGTATATCTTACAAGCACCCATCTCAAAAAAAGAAATTCCGTGGCAGTAGGAAGTACAGCCCGAGAAACCCCGCGATATCAAGAGAAACGTCCTCAAGATTTCATGGCTTCCAGTATTACCTAGAGCCAGCCTTTTGGGTGATCGGATTCTGAAAGTCCTAGCTGCAAGAGGAAAATATACTTACCCATCTATAAGTTCACTTTTGGCTCGTTGTCACCTTCATCTCTCTATAAAGTTACTTCCAACTTACTCTCACTGCCTCTCACTTTTATCCCACTTTTATTCTTCAATAACAACCTCCGCCCCTTCATCTCTCTTCTTCATTCTCAACAACACTACCACTCCACTTTCCTCCCACCCTTCTATCTCCCTCCTCCTACTCGCTAGAGGCAAGGGCCCTTACCCATATATAAGTTCATTTCGGCTTGTTCCCACCTTCATCTCTCTTTCTCCACCACACCCCCCCCCTCCATCTCTCTTCTTTCCTTTCCACGAACACGACAGTGCCGAGTGATCAAAGCGAGATCTTGAAGCAGGCAACCCCTGGCTTGGCCTGCAGGACCTGGTGGTACGCCTCTGCGAGCAAAAGGGCCGAAATTTAAACACCCTCACTTATTCCGCCTGTGGAAATACCTTCTTCGTCAAGTACAACACGGTCACAATCGAGGATTTGCACGCACAAGTGTTCTTCCGTCTGGAGGTTGGGCAAAGACCCAGCCCCAGCGTCCGGATTCCGGATTCCGGAAGTCTACCACGCCTTCGAAGGAGAGGAAGAGGCTTCACATATATCATCATGGGGCACGTCAATATTGATGTCGAGCGGACAGCCTCCAATCAAGAAATCCGTGACTCCCTCTGCGATTTGAGCAATATTTGATCATTGTCTGGTACCTTTCGGAGCTCTATCCGTCGTGACAACAGACATAATATCCTCCAATACGAACGCCCTATGAAAGTTGAGCAATATCTAATCATTATCTGGTGCCTCTCGGCGCCAAATTTACCGAGAACACAGGCAAAATTTCAACATAGACACGATTTATTCCGGTACAGCTTCCCTCCGGTTGTGTTTTCTTCCCCACGATATTTGAAGATTTCTTGAGACAGTGTTTCTTTCCAGGTCTTGTTAGGGGCAACGATGTTGAACTAATATATCGATAGTGCCTAGAACAGTACAACAGTGTGACGCGGAAAGGTTTGGAGTTCCGGATTGAACCGCCCATTTGTTGTTATGCCGACATAAACGCAAGCAATTCCCGATGTTCCCTATTGAGGAGTATTGTCGGCTCTGCGTGGTCGCTTTTGCAAAACCCGGAGTTCTTCTGGAGTTTTCCCTTCGGTTTGAGTGACTTGTGTGGTTGCGGCCCATCCAAAAGAAAATCATCTGCTAGTCAGTCAGGATTGATTGGAGAAGGGCTTCCTTCTCCAACCTGGGAAGAGTCGCCCCTGTCTGAATCTGGGGCGAGTCACTCATGTTTGATTTTGGAAGTACTCGACTGGGTCAGGTATGTGATCGAATTCATTCATCAAGATTTTCGTGTGCCCGGCTCATTTCCATTTTTCTTAATCTTATTTCTCATATTATATCTAGTCTAGACCTCTGTCGGAGCAATCGCATAAAGGCTAATGCTGAATCTCTATCTGGCAGCTGCTACGCTTCACACTTTCGACACGGCAACTACCTCTCATTGAATAGGTGACCCCGGAGCTTGAGCATAAACATCCACGAAGGAATGAGGTTCTCCATGAAGCCATCGAATGACAGCCCTAGGGTGGAACCAGCTCTAGGGTTACACCCCAGTCCCAATGATAACAGTTCACTGTCTGAATAAGGGTCCAATTTGCCTCCGCTCGCTCTGTCTTCTAGTTCTCCTTCCACATAGACGGAACACTATACAGAAAAGGTCAGCTGATAGTCAGTTTACAGGTACTATTTTTACTCACGAAACCTCAATCACAGCACATCTCCCACCCTGAACAACATCCGTCGCCTCTTTGATAGCAGGATCAAGCTCACTTTGCGTGGTCACTGTCGCACCCCACGCTTTACCGGCCGCAGCAGCGATTCCAGGGTAATCAGGAGAAGGATCAAACGAGATATTGAGATCTGCAATAAATCAGTCACTGTGTGCAAGGTGTTTGGTTCAAATCTGGCTGACCTCGTCTGTTTGACTTCGACGATAATCCGTCCTTGTGCACCAGAAGTGCAGACACCTTTGGTGCGTTCCATCCGCCATTGTTGAGCACAATGAGGAGGAAGGGGATATCATAACGTCTGGCGATCCAATAAACACTTTCCATTTGCGAGAAAAGGTAAACTCCGTCACCGACGCTGGGAGTTCATTAGATATAGTGCAAATCTTTCACGACTGTGAACACTTACATTGCACATATGAATGAACCGGGCTTGCCTAGCTTGACGCCTAGTGCTGCACCACCTCCCCATCCCAGACCACCTGCGCCGCTGGCAATCAGACTTCCGGGCTGGAATTTAGTTAGTATCAAATCAGTAGCTAGCTTGGCATTAATACATACCTTGGTCAAGCTCAAATGGTGAATGAGATGTCCTGCATTGGTTACAGCCTCCAAAACATAAATAGTGTCTTCGGGGAGAGAATCTCGCAATCTTGATGCCAGGTATGGCACACTGACTACACCATCTTCCAACGGTGATTCAAGTGCTTTTAAGCTTTCCCTCCAGGTCTTGTAATTCTTTGACCGCTCCTCAAATTCCACGGTATACGTAGCCCGATTAATGTCCTGTTTATCCAGGAAAGCATTGATTTGCTCAAGTGCAATTCCACAGCCAACCTTGAGCTTACGAGTCGCGTTGATTGAAAAGACTGAAACATAACTATCAGCAAGAAAATAGAAGATTATCAGCCCCGCGGTCGGTGTGTGAACTTACGTGGCATCTGTTGCTTCAGCGGATCGACATCTAGATGGAATACTTTCGTGCCTGCAGCGCCTGTTAGAACGGCATTGAAACACTGCTTTCTGGGGTATTCTTACCGCTCCGAGGCTTTCCGGCAGTAGGGATCCAAGGGACATCACAATCGAGAATAAGAATAACATCGGCTTCAAGAACTTCCGGATGAGTAGTGACGGTAACGCCGCGATATGCTTCATGGTCACTTCGCAGCGAAACGTCAGAGCCGACCATCTCCACGACGGTGATTGGAAGTTTGTCACAAAGCTCAGCCAAGAGGGCTGGTGCTTTGCGATTCCGACCAAGATAGCCTGTGATGACAAGCGGTCGCCTTGCGCTCATGAGCGACTTGGCAATTAATTCCACATCTATTGTTGTCAGTGAAGTGAAGTTATAGCCTGGATAAGTATCACCCTACCTTGCTCTGGCAATGCACTTGGAGCAATTGAACTGAGAATTTCTCCGTCTACGTATTCCTTTCCCACACGCTGCATAGATCTGGTTAGTAGCTATTTTAGTATATTTTGAAGACTGCGAATACTTACTTCCTCAAGTACCTCTCTCGCGGCCATTAGATATGCCGGGCCTTTAGGGTCAGATGTAGCAAATTGCAATGCTCGCGAGACCATCTGCTTGATATTGCGTCCGGTTTTTATTTCACCTGTGTATCTGCAGTATTGTCGGACAATTGCTGCTTGATCGGGTACGTCTTGCAGCCAATGGATGAACCTGTAGTAGTGTCAGTAGGCTCAATGTAAATATCTTGTCTTGGGCTTGCTAACTCTGTTCTCGAACCCAACATTTCGCCATTCTGGGTAAAAGGACTCAAGCCAGCGAAGCACAGGACAGGAACTCTGCTGACGGAGGCGTTATGTATGGACTGTCCCATAGCGAGAGTTCCGCAGTCCACATGCACAATTACACATTGCTAGTGAGAAGTTAGCGAAAATCAATCGATATGATGGACGCAGTCACGTACTGGAACTCCTGTAGCTTGAGCATACCCCAGTGCAGCTGATAGTGCCACTAGCTCAGAAGGACAGGTAATGATGTTCGGAAAATTGGTTTTGTTTTCTGTCATAATTCAGCCCTGGTGTTATTGGATAATATCTCCTGTACTCACCTTGCTTGGCCTTGATCATCGCTTCCAACATGGCCGGATGATCGCTCCCCCTATCGGACCGGTCAAAACACATCAAATTGGTGATTATTACAGCTACTCACAGGTTGACGAAGCAGTGAGTGATCCCGGCCTCGGCTGTAAGAATGGTTAGCTTTTCTAATGGGTTTCCTGAAGCTTGGATCACATACACAGCGCCTCGAAGAAATTCTCAGCAGCAGACGTAAGGCTGCCATCTTTGACAATTTCATCTTCATCGTCACTCTCTACCTTCTTTCGTTTCTGGGGTACTGTATTCGACTTCATTGTGTCTTGCAATGTTGGAATTGATAGGGAGGACAAGTTTAAATGTCAACCCCTTGGGTCAGGGCTAGCTCTATATACCCCGCATAGTACAGATCAAGTTCCGCTATTTATGGGCCTTTGAAATTGTTTCCGCATTGACGTTAAGTACCCGAGGATCGGCATCTTCACCGGCATTTTGGTGTCTCGGTCATTTGGCCTATTAATATTGCAAGGACACTCCATAAAGTCCTGGAATAAGTTTTATAAAATCCCAAGCTTCTCATGCTCATCGCTTCATAAGTCAAAATTCAGATATCACCAATAACGCCCTTGAGTATCTCAGGAACAATAACACCTGCATCTCCCTGGAAGAACCAGTCCCCGTAATGAAGCTCACCCGGTGTATCCTTAAGGTCCATATTACACACTGCAACTCGGGCGCCCTGCGAACGAGCTTCGTGGACATACCCCGCAGCTGGCCAGACCCGCGCGCTGGTGCCAATGACCAAGCACAGGTCAATTGGACCCGCCGCGATCCACTTATCCACAGCTTTGAGTGTTTTCTCCGGTAGGGGTTCTCCAAACCATACGACTCCTGGTCGGAGCAAGCCATCTTTGCATTGAGGGCATTGAGGTAATTCCTCTTTAGGCACTGTGGCAATCGGATTGCTGGGATCAGATATGTCGACCTCGTTGGTTGTGCCTTCCAGAGCTTCTGCAATCGCTTTCGATGCTTCCTCGCCAGTCTTATCGGTCGCAGAAGGGTTAAGGCCTGAACTCTTTTTTGGGATCTCGAGGGCGGGAACGATAGGGTCGGTGTAGTCATCTTCGCTATAGGTGCAGTAGAAGTTGGTGCATTTCACATTGAACAGAGTGCCGTGAAGAAGATGCAGCTGCTTCGCGGGATGGTTCGCTCGCTGGGAGAGGCCTAGAAAACGCGATGGATTTATTAGTCAAAAAAACAAAAAATAAAATAAAACCAAGTCCCACATTCATACCGTCAACATTCTGGCTCAATGTGATAAAGTCTTCATTCCTTCTTGATAGCTCCGCTAAGGCGTAGTGTGCTTTATTGGGGTCAGCCTGCAAGGCCATGTGTCGCCGATAGCTGTAGAACTGCCAGACGAGACCGGGAGACTCTTCGAAAGCTTCTGGGGTCGCAAGGGAGGTTGCATCGTGGGCACGCCAGAGTCCACCTGCCCCACGGAAGGTGGGTAGGCCTGACGATGCTGAGATTCCAGCTCCAAGAAGAGCAACGATGCGTTTGCAGCCTTTTAAATATTCAGTAAATGATTGAAGGTCAGCAGCCGGCACAATGCTCTTGGATGAAGCCATGGCCTTTTCACAGTAAGAGATTTGAAGGGAGAGAGGCTTCTTGAAAGGGGCTGAAATGGAGATGCGGGGAATTTATACCCCATCAACGCCTGATCTATAAGGCGCCAGAACAGTTCTTTATTCAAACTACCATTGGGGTGTTTGTTGACTTATGATAATTCCTTTTTCTTTATCTTCTAAAGAAAAGGAATATAACAGTTCAGCAGGAGCTATCTTCCGTTGGTTTTTGGTATTCTATAGTTCGAATATATTATCCTAGGCAGATCTACGAATCCAATACAAAATAGTTTACTAAAAGTGGCCTTCGACATAGCTTCAATCTCCGTAGCAAACCTAGTGTTATAGGAAGGGATGGGGGCAAAGCAAAGCAAGATAGACAGCCCATTGCCAATTGCCACTACTCTATAGAAGGTGGAAGCTTTGCCTAGTGAAAGGAAGTAGGACATTCTAAATCAGAAGCCTCCAAAGATAGCTGGGTGGACCTCAAGCTGTATTACTAGGAATACAGTAGCAGTAGCAAACACCGTGCTACGAGGCATATAGCATCCGAGCAGTGACAATTCAACCAGGGCAATTGCCCGTCATCCAGACCCAACCACAACTTCCCATGGCCGTGAGGGCACCACATGCCTGTGCAGTGGTATTTACAGCCACAATGCCTAGCCCCCCTGATCCTGACTTTGCCCAGCAGCGAACCTACTAGCAATTGCGAAAGTTCCTATGGCATTTTGGACTCCAGCAGCAATAGACGCTCTCTTCGGTAGGAGGTTAGAAAAACCGTAAAGGGAAAGTTCTTGCTGAGAGGTTATAAATACCTTTGAAGACAACAGCATGAGTAAATCCGAGACCGAATTGGACTGGAGTTGTTACCAGCCCCGAGGTAGCGCCAGCTACCACATGGATAACTATAGCAGGATTCTGGAGGACTCAGTTGCCTGCCTATCGCATTCGAATAATCAGTCACGAGGTGTGGATATACGAGAATAAGAATATGCACCTGGATCGTATAGTTTACGAAGGTGGAAAACATGACCCAGTGCAGCTATTGTCTATTTTAGATTAACGCACGGTTGTATTAAACAGGGCGTTGGTTTGGGGACATGTATATATATGCTCAACGTACACTAGTAATTCAGATTCAAGATTATGTGGCCTAATGTCACGATTTTAAGGGCGTAGTAATTCATGGTCCATAACAAAGGCGCATAGAATGCCACACATCCTGCTATAAGATTTGATTAAGAAGGCTTAGCTAGAGAGTCACGTCATTATGTCACTCGTTGGACCACCCATGAAGGACATTGACTAGCCACACTAAGTAACGGCGAATACCTATCTAGGTTCACCAAGCCTATGGATATCAGGAAACTTCTCATATTGCGACTACATTTGCGGCGTTGCTCTCTTGGAACCCTGCTTAGTTGTTTTCGTCATTTTTGTTATGTTTCTCGACTTGGATCTTGAGCGGGTTTGTAGATCGCTATAATTGAACGGGCCCGCACTATATGTTTTATCCTTTAGGCGACAGAGGCCAGTTTGTTTTATTTCATCTTTATTTTACTTCCTGTCTTTATTTGAATTGTTTGACTTTGGTATCTCAAGCTAAGAGCCTAATTGTTATTTTTGGGGGCCAAGCTTAACCTTGACAAACGCACCCTGGCGTGTAAGATTGGCACATTTAGGCGATATACCATCCAACGCCACCTTTACTTTCACTCTCTATCAGTTCAAATATGGCACCTCAAACCCTAGGCGATGAGTCCGATGGAAAGAAACTTGAGTTCGTCAGGAAGAATCGACTTCAAGATGACGACTTGAAAGACCTCAATTTATCTCCAAACCCCCGCCCCAGACCACTCACTCCACCATTCCCGGAGGATAAAGATCTCAAACCTCAACCACCGTCAACTAGTCGTGGATGGCGATTATCCCTTTCAAGGCGACGCAACCAACAGCTCACCTTCGACCAAACCCAGTCTCCTCTATTCGAATGTCTACCCGCCGAAGTCCGCCTTCTCATCTGGGAACATTATCTCTGTAGTCAAATGCTGCATGTTCTTCGACCAACCCAGCGCAAATGGAAACGATCCGATAAGCAAATCGTCGGGATTTTATGCAGCGAACCTCGCAATTTCTGTTCATGCAGTCATCATTGCTGGGGGCCGCTTGCTCGTCGGCCTGTCGGTAACTGCATTACACCGATGGACTACGGGTCTTATTACCACGAGAACTCCGAATGGAGATTTGACACGAGAAGAGTTGATTTCGTGCCACTTTTACAAACTTGCCGAAGAGTGTGAGTACTCCCATCTATGTTCATATATAACCAACTAACCTGGCAGATACTCCGAGGCTATTGATATGATCTTTCAAAAGAACATTTTCCTCTTTAACCAGACAGATACAATTATCGATTTTGCGAATACACTTCTACCACAGCGAATGAGCATGATCCGCACGTTACAGCTCAGCTTTCCGGATCCCGGTGGCCTAAGTTGGAATATATGTTGCCAGGTTCTTGCTACGAAGTTGCCTGGACTAAAGAACTTGACCATCCATTTGTATCCTCACGTCACGAACCGTCTAGATGATTGGCTTATACCGCTGCATCAGATTCAACAGCCCACTGTCTTTGACGTCTTACTCATCAAGCCATGGTATCTGGATCCACAATGGGAAAAGTCAACTGGGCTTGTGGATGCGCCTTTTCAATTTGCCATTGCTGATGTTGAGAGACGTGGTTTTTTGAAAGTTGTGGAGTATTGAGGGTTGATAGACATGATTCATTAAAATAGACTGGCTATCCATCGAGTTGGCTACGCTGGGGTTGTACTCCATTCGGAGAACAAATGTTTTGTATTCGGGCAAGTCTTCCTACATCTATAGGCCTAAGGTTACTTTGGCTATACGATTAGACATTAGCCCAACCCCGATTTGGGAGCGGCGCGTATTAATAATATCACGTCACATATACTCGTACATAATAGAGCATTCTGTTTCCTTCACCTTTCTTTCTCTTTTTATCTTCACCAGTGCCATCAAGTCTCAATATGAAACGTTGGGGAGTCTACCATATGTTCGAATATAGGCGGGGATTCAGGCCCGTTAGAAGGTACGCCAAATTCGAAGGACGTTCAGACATTCGTATACTTCGACTCAAATATGGCAACCTCATTTTCCATATCCAAGTCTTTGTGGATATTATGGTAAAAGAATATATTCTCCGAGAAATTGTTCAACGGGAACAAGCTCTAGAGAATAAGGCCCGGCTATCAGAGAAAATCACCATTGATAAGTATGAAAAGGAGCTTAGCGGTCTTTTACAAGAATATAGTAAGGCCGAGTGGGCGTTTTACCTCGCCGAATCAATACTTCCTCTCGGGCCGGTGAAACGGTCCTATGATATTTTACAACAAAATCCAACTTGGTATCTTCGGCAAGAACTGGTTGAAGACTGTGCGAGAAGAGGTGGCTGCTGCGGTCGAAGCTGCGGGTGTTGTAGAACTCGCCGGTCAGCAACTCAACGAACTAAGGGGATTGGACATTGTACGCCTTCGTGTGAATGTTGCTCAAATAGACGAGGCTTCGAGTATACCACGCACCAGAGGCAAGAAATGGTCCTTGATCTTAAGAATCATTTTTACCAGAATAACCCGGCATATGTTATCAAGATGGCGGAGGCTTATTTTCTAAAGCCTCAGGGCGGGATATTGCAGCGAGGGAAGGGGATATTTGGAATGGTTTGAATATCAGAGAGGTGTTGCGGCTTGCCTATAGCTTGAATATGTCAGGCATACCTAAATGTAGGTACAGTCTACTACTATGTGGTGCCTATTGCTACTAGAATCCATATGTACCTTGTATGGTCTCGTGGAATGCATATTTCTCAGAATAATAACTGTTTGAACCTCGCATATGGAGCGGTGTCAAAGGCGTTCTTCAAATGGGCAGGCATCTAGGATTTAGCCTCTACTCTTGGGATTTGACAGGAAAGAAAATCATACATATTCTGGAATCAACTTGGCCTCCAAACATTTCACTATCCTCTTCTCCCCCGAGCAACACTTTCTTACGTACATTATCATACCCCCAACTTTGACGTTTGTTTCAAGTAATCCAATTCCCGGGGTCCATTCATACATTGGCCACTGGATCTCCGTTCCTGAAACTCCATCCAGATTGACTCGAACCCATCGCTGGCTTGTAGCCGTACCCACAATAGTCAATTGCACCGTCAACATCCATTAACCCGGGTGGAGGTAGCTGTGTGGCCTGTGTATGATGGTCAGAGATGGTTATACTGCGTTTCTGGTATACGAAGGGACATGCTCACTGTTCCGGAGGTACCCTGATGCGATAGAGGCACAGTTTTATATTCGACTTGCTGCAATTCTCTGTCCAGAGCCGGGCGTCCGCGTCCGTTTCCCGCTGATTTTGGAATAACAGCTGATCTTTGCTGGAAGGTCTCGCTATTCGGATTGATGTGTGTGTGGACCTGGAATTCAGGTGCACCAGTTTCACCACGACATCTGGCAGCCTTCATAGGGCGGGTTGATAACTCTCCCTCGTTGCCTTGTCTTTTCTTTGTCTGATCGTGGGGCGGTTGCATATCGTTTCGTTGAGATCGCATGTTGCCTTGCACTCCAGCCCCTCCAGCCAAGGCTCCACTGAATAAAGCTCTCGGCTCACCAACCGACGGTAGATGAGCGGTAAAGTAAGCCCTGCCAGTCACCGGAGCTGTCGTAATACCGGGATCGAGTGAAGGTCGCATGGAAGGACCAAGAATACGGGCCTCCAAGTCCTGTTTGGTCCAGTTTCTGCTCAGGGTGTCTTCAATTCGTAGTATTTCATCCGGGACAAATAGTGTCCCGTCCTGAAAGGCATCCATCAACCTCATCTTGGCCGTAGCTTTGTATTTTGTCGGCGGTAATCCAAAATGGAGAAGCTGGGCTTCGTACCAGTGGGCTGGATTGTCGGGTCTGTTCCTTTTGGCTCCCAATGGTGTACTGAAGATTTCCTCCAACTCGGAATATGCCGCGCGCGAGTGAACATGACCGGAAGAGGAAGTGACGTAGAGCGTGTCTGCGTAGTAAGACCACTGGCCGTGATAGACAGAAGCCATGGTGTGTGTGATAACGAAGTGGAGGATAGTAGTTGAATCGGAGGTGAAATGAAGATGGAATCCTTAAGGACCCTTTTAGCAATCATGACTACATAGATAATCACATGTCTATCTGAAGATATCAGATCGACTCCGTATACACTTGCCGTTTTAGCAACTACCTAGTGCGGCATCTACGTTTCGGATTTCCTCTGCTACTTGACTCTCCCCTTCCGTTTTGATGGCCAGGCCTTGCCACCCTTTGCGATATAAAACTGAGTTCTGACACTATGTGAGGGTATAGACTGGATCTACACGATGCCTTTATATTCCACGTCATATGCATATAGAACGTTATAAAAATGGTCATTTGATCACAACCCCTTCTCCCCAATCTCACAAGCTGGCACTTCAAGGGCCCACTCAGATCTCAAGACCTCTTCTGCTGTAATTCTCGCCTCCATATCGGGATGTAACATCGCGTAAACTAAATTTCGGTAATGCTTGAGTTCCGAGATATTAGATATTTTTCTTATGCCCAGCCTCACTAGAAGAAGATGATAAATATAACTTACTTCTTCAAGAGCCTGTATGAGACCGAAGCCATCTTCCTTCAGACGACAGCGGAGGTAAACAGCATAAGACTCATTCTCAGGATTAACTCTCTGGGCGCTGGGCCAGGGGAGTTCTCCCGATCGAAGTAGCACGCAGATTATGCCGCATGCCCACATATCTCCCGCTCTAAAATCACAGCCATCTTGTTGTGCATAGCTTTGAGGGCGAGAGCCCTGAGCAGGAAACCTCTCAGGAGGAAGATAAGGCACACTGGCGTCTGTAACCGTTCTCCGAATGCACAGAATCGGCTTATCTTCGGAATCCGGAGGTGTGTCAGGGGTTGGTTCTGAAGAGGATGTGAGATTACCACTATCTGACAGCGTGGCTAGTTCTCGAATTGCATCTTCGTCTTGACCAAAACCACCCACTTTCACTGAGCCTCGGGAAGTTAAGAATATATGGTCTGGTCTTAGGTCGCCATGGGCAATGTTGTTCTCATGTAAAAACGCCACTCCTCGCAGGATTTGAATAGCTAAACAGTCCAACTCCTCGGTGGACGGTTTGTCCTTTGGTTTCCATGATCGCCAAAGAAAAGAGAGTAGGTCACCACCAGCATAGTACGGCATGACAAGACAGAGATTCCTTTGCTTATTGTAGAGAATGTCGACGAGTGGGACAATGTTGGGGTGAAATAGGGAGATAGTTCGACTTGGAAGATTGTCCGGAGAGACGGGGCTATGGGTGTGGCGAAACACTTTGATTGCATAGAGTTCTTTAACTGCATCGGTGGAGTTTCGTCTCAATATCCCCAGTATATGGATTGGCGGGGACTTTGCTGGCGATGTTGGATGAGAAAGCGGTACTTTCTTCTTGTACAATTCAACAGTATTGGTGTCATCGTAATGGAGGATTCGGTTGAATTTGCCATAGTCCTCTGCAAACGATGGGTGCGATTCTTCCTCTGCTTTCCTGTTGGCTGTAATCTTTTGCATCTGATCCGACTTGTCGGAATTCATAACCGTCTCTGGGTGAGAAGGGCCCTCACATTCAGGTATCGACTGTCCCAACACAGGTAAGACATGGGTTAGCTCATCAAGAATGTGAGGACTCGCATAGTCCCTTATCTCTCTGTCGCTATCCCTTAGCACGTGGTGGGTATGAGATGGCGGGGAGCGTGGTGGTATTTCGACATGCGCGAAGCGATGTGGATGAGTATCTTGAGACTTCTCCTTTTGCATTCTCGGTTTCTGTGAATTCTTGTGTTTCCCGTGGAAACTATAGTATACAAAGCTCGATAGAATGTATCTAGAAAGTCGATAAAAGCTCCAAAGAGCTGTAGTAAAGGTATGACATAACCATGAATCATCTAGTCTCAGAGTAGAAAACACAGTGAGCTGCGTTGAATAGCGACTTATTGTGCCAACATAATGTTCCCGGGTATCCAAGATCTACCTAAGATGCCATTGATCAATCTCGGAGAGCTTATTGGACCCCATTGAATCTATAACATGATGACTCTGAGCAGCTGAAGTGTAAGAAAATTTACTGGGCCAGACCCCGAGCTATAGAGCACTCTGCTTGATTTAGTGGCTATGATTCTCTCATTTGAATTGTCGATATAATAATAGATAGCTTTTCTTCCATATCTTGACTGTCTACACATGTGTACAAGTGCATTAAGATCAAGTTGCACATAGTCCACCTGCTTTGAGTTGAAGCCATCAACAGCAATTTCTTTTTATCCTGATAGATGTATTTATTTACGTATACGTGAAAGTTACATCCTCATTTTATGCTAACAACATACATGTAGATACGTAGGTTATAATCCTCCAAATGTGTTAAATCGTCATTGTTTACATTTAAGCGCCCCACGTCCCACGGAACTTTAAGCGCGTTAAGGATTCCTAACTCCCGACTTCACTCCATCCCATCTACTTGCTTCTCCTTATAGATCATACACCATGAATCCATCTTCTCCTCCACGCTCTCCACAGAGATCCCCCACTCCGAATACACAAAGCACACTCAGCCATCGTCCGAGCCCGCGCCAAGCCCAGAGCTCAGGCACACCATCCAACAGCTCAGCCAACGCCCCGATCCCAGATGACGACCATGGCGCCGATCTACCGATGAATATGTCTGCATCGGTCATGTTGACCAATTTACCCCAGGATGCGCACCGGGCACTCGCCGACGTGGAGAGTATTGATTCGGGGAAAGGTAAACACCCCTCCTTTTCCGAGCTGTTGGATGAGACGACTGCGATGTCAATAAATGATAGAATTTAACTGACGGTTATCAAGTTACTGTTCGGTTTCAGCCTCTCCCGTCAGCGCCAATTCTAAAAAACCGAGTGTTCAAGGTTAGCGCTTCGCAGAAATTCGAAACGGTTGTCAAGTTTCTACGCAAGAAGCTGGACTGCAAAGAGACCGATTCGGTCTTTTGTTATGTTAATAGTGTCTTTGCGCCCGGGCTAGATGAAGGCATGGGCGGACTATGGAGGGTGAGTTTCCCATTCTACCTGCATATCCGAAAACTTGAATGCTAACTTTGTAATAGTGTTTCAAGACGGACGATCAATTGATTGTCGCTTATTCAATGACGCCAGCATTCGGCTGAAAAGGCTATGAACAATCAGCGCGAAGTGCTGAATGATGATATGTACAAATGATGATGATGATGATGATGATGATGATGTTTAATACAGAACATGCAAGAAATGGCCGTGAAAGAAAGATGGCAACCAGACGCATCATGTTTCCCGGAATACCTCGTCCACCGTTTTCTGGAACCCGTCGAGCTCATCCTTCGCAATGGGATACGTGTATTCCTCCGATGGGAACGCCCGACTCTTAACCTCATCGCGATAGAGCGAAATACCACGGGCAGCCTCATCCCAAACATCCGCGTACTGCTTAACAAATTTCGGCACGAACCGACCAGGCTGGAAATTCCCAGTCATGTCAACTTGCACCAAAACCTGTCCGGAGCAGCCATTCCCAGCGCCAATACCGATAGTCGGAATCCGCAGCTTCTGGGTTATGATCGATGCAACCTCCGACGGCATTGCCTCAAGTACAAGCATAAACGCGCCAGCCTCTTGCATCGCGAGTGCATCGCGCAGCAGCCTCATCGCGCTGACAGCTGTTTTACCCTGCACACGGAAGCCGCCGAGGGCATTCTGACGCTGCGGCGTAAGACCGACATGGCCAACCACCGGAACGCCGGCTTGTGTGATGCGCCTGATTGTGGGCGCGAGTTCCTCACCACCTTCGAGCTTGACGCTGTGTACGCGGCCTTCCTTAATCAGGCGCAGAGCTGACTCGATAGCTTGCTCTGCGCACACTTCATATGACCCCATCGGTAAATCTCCAACCTGGAATTGGAGTATGGTTGTTAGTCGCGTTGTACTCGCCAGTCAATGAGTCCCAGCAACTCACAATGAAAGCGGCCTTCGTTGCACGCGCTACGCTCCGACAATGGAGGATCATCTCTTCCATAATGACCTCCGTCGTGTTTTCCAGTCCAAGAGCTACCATCCCTAGACTATCCCCAACCAAGACCATATCCATCCCTGACGCATCGGCCACATGAGCACTGGGAAAGTCATGCGCCGTGAGCATCGTGATTGGCTCCCCTTTTTTGTGCAGGTTCTGTAGCGTCTGGATAGTAACCTTCTTCCGCGCCTTTCCGTTTCCCGGTGTTGGCGCGGAGTAGGAACTATATCGTATCTGGGAGAGGGAGTGTGGTATCGGTACGTGGGAGGACAGGACAGGACAGCATCCGGCACGAAGGGTGTGTGTGGCTTGCGTTCGGGTAGCAGGTATCACTCTCGTTCTTAGCAGCGACGAAGAAGCGAGTGCTGTGCGCCGCAGCGCAGAGCCTGGCGCGGCCATTGGGTGGTGTGGTTTTTCAAAACAGAGTGGCGTGATGCACGATACCACAATACCAGACTTTCTGCGTCCAGTGAGTATATATCTCAATATGTCCCGGTATGCAATGCTATATGCAGTAGTTGTATCTCGTCCAAGCTGTAGAAGTGGCGATAACAAAGGAATGGCGATAACAAAGGACTGGCGATGACCTCAGCGGCGAACTGAAGCTCGTCAGGTGTGCGAGTGGTAAAGATGAAAAAGTCGTGAGATCTTATATCGAGGGATATGTCCGGATCTACGGCTTTCTGTAAATATCCTTCTGTCCGGACTAACGTGCTGGGTTATGCGGCGTAGATGGGAGCATCAAAAATTCCTCAAGTTGAAGATCTTCTTTTACTGCCGCTGATTATGGGGCCGAGTACCGAGAGGTTTTGCGGGGCTGCCAGGTGCTTGGACATAGGAACGATGCATTCGCTCAGATCTGGTGCTACTGGATTTATGTGAACACGATGGCTGTCTTTTTCAATAAACGAATGTTCAATATAAAGCTTTTATTATGTTGAGATCAACTTTGGAAGCTCGAGGATGTGTTTTACTTCATTTTCACCGCCTGGCACTAATGTCACCGCCTGCAGTTTACGTCTCGCCGAGGTGATTACCGCATTGGGCTAAGTGAGGGGGCCTTGTACTTCTACTTCAATGGGTTGATGTTTCTTTCTTCAAAAATTCATTTGATAAACAATTTCAATTAGCACGATACAAACTGCATACAGATCATCGAGTCGAATAAATGCTTATTCAGGTAAGTAATGTCACGAGAAAGGAAAAGTCTCAACTCGGCCGCCTGCGCTGGGTAAACCACAGCCATCGGGAAACAAGACACCACCAGTGAAAAGACACAAGGAAAAGCTGATGAAGATAGAAAACATGGCCCCGTAGGACCAAAAAGGGGGATAATGATGTGTTAGAATGAAGTGCAATGCAAGGTTAGGAACCCTTTAGTTCATGCTAAATCGTTCATTATACCTTCGGTATATCGCAACCGGCCACTATTGAAGACCGTAAAGCACAAGCTGATTGCATGTGAAGCAAGCAGCGTCGACGATGAGATTTTCTTGGAGTAACACGAGAAATGCAAGTATCCAAAATTGCCGTCGGTGGTTGATGGAGGTCGGTTCACGAAATCGAAGGTGATGGGATGCTGGTTTAAATTCGGATATTCAATACAATTGAAAGAAGGGAAGATGCTGTAAAGGAGTGGACGACCTCCATCGAGGTCAAGGCAAGCAGACCAGACCGTCGGAGAGGGACTGGTTACTGGTGCTGCTGATGCTGATGCATAAAAAAGAAATGAAAAAAGAAAACGCCACCATGCATATGTCGATGCCGAGGGTATGGTTATGCGAGAGTTTTGGGGGTGCAAATCGGGCATGACGGAAATAAAAATTGCAACGTGGCAGGAGAAGGATAACTTGAAAACAAAAGCTGGACCTGCAGTAGGATGCAAAGGTATTGCATGCAAGAGGCCGAGGGTCAAAGGAAATCATGGAATGCTGTAAGCAACAGCAAATCTATTCATCATATTCATAGTCGCCCTTGAGGGGGCGCTGAATCTCGGCGAGCAACGCATCGAGCTCAGCCCAGTTCGTTGAGTTCGCGGCAAATCGGCGATGTTTGCGAGTAAGAGTGTGCTAATGGATGGGTCAGTATTCATAGGAATCTAAGCAACGGGGGGCATTGGATCATACCTCTTCGAAATCGTCAAACTTGTCCCTGCAGTTCTCGCAGTAGCCGGGCTTGGGATCTCTGCGACGTTCGGGTTTCTTTTGTTCATCTTTGTCCTCCCTTGGTCGCTTTGAGCCAGCCACCTCAGATTGCTTTGCTTCATCCTCATTGTGGGGAATGTTGGCCTTTCCAGGAGGATTAATGTTGTTCTTCATCGGAACTGTCGCAAACCCATCTCCACGGCGTTGAGGAGCAGCCATCGATCCCACTGCAAATCCACATGTGCCCTTCTCGAGAACCTTTCGCTTGAGCCCATGAACCTCCTTGCTAAGCCCGGCTTTCGCGCCAGGTGCTGCAGCAGTAGATGAGATCATCTGTGAGCGAATTGCGGATGTCATATTAGACGGCTGAACACCTGAGGCGGCTGGCTCGTGACCAGCATAAAAAGGGCCGGTGCGCGGGAAGTGGGGAGGGATGAAGCTTTCAGAGCTCTTTCGTTCATGAGTTTCATCAACTGATGGCTTTTGGATTTCGTTTTGAATTGGAGGTGAGACGCGCTCCTCTTGTTGCGCCAATGGCTGGGAATGCGCGATCTCTGTGGCTACGGATTCGGGAGCTTGAACTGGCTGAGCGGT